GGTCATCTCCATGTGTGTTAAACATTTGTTTGTTCATGACTGAGTCAATGACTGAGTCAATTCAAGTGGTTACAAACAAAACAATAAATTACTTGTGTGTTTCTCTTTAGTGTGTGTGCTTGTTTGTGTGTGGGTGTGGTGTCTAAAAATGTCATACATATTCACTGTTCACTGTGACTGTAGCAGGTAGAAACAGCCTGACAAAAATCATTTAGAGTAATCTTGAATCCTTAACAGTCTGCAGGCCGCCTTGATCCAAAGATGTATTTCTAAGTCTTGCAGTCGTGATAAATCAGTGTGGTTTATGTGCTAATGGGCTAAAATATAAAACCTGAATTTGTATGCGTGCTTTGCCCTGGATATTTGGCCTGGTGGCTTCATGCCAACCCAAATCGCCTGCTGGCAGCCTGAATGCAGCAGGCCTGCGTCTGCCTGAGAGCCATTTCACAGGTAATTAATGGACATAATGACTGCAATTCAGGGGTAAAAGGAGAGCGTGGGCTGCTCCAATAAATGCACGAACATAGTGATCCACACACAAAAGCAATTCAGAGGTAAATGGCGGGATAGGTTGTTAATTAATCCTCCTCTACACGTGTTCTTGAAAATCTGACCAAAGAACTGTGTTTGCAGCATCCAAAATATTTTCTTAGTAAAGGAAATCCTACAAGAAAAAAAAACACTGAGATCTTTTAATCTAAAATCTAAAAACAAACAAAAATATCCTCACTATTTTCACTTTCACAATCTGGGACGCCAACCTGAATGCTTTATTTAAAGATGCAAACACACACACACAAAGACACACGTTCATTCCCGTCTGAGGGGTTCTCTTTGACTGGATCTGCGTCACGGCGCTGCCGCACACGCCTGGAATCACTTTTGTCGCCACACATCCATAAACCAACACAGGAAAGACGTGCGGCACCACCAAACTACACGGTTCACCACAGAAGCTAAGAGCTCAAAGTGCTTCCATACTGAAGTCTGAAGTCTCGGCTCTGCTCACTGAGGTTTTCACATGTCTGAAAACTCCTTACCTGTACTTTAAATGCAGTATATTAATATTGATAACTTGCTAAGTTTCAGGTTTAATGACATTTTTTATGAGGCTGGCTCCTTTCAGAAGACTTCAGTGGCGTAAGAATTTCTGTCTGAGGATTTATTTTATTTTGAAAGGACAGAGGAGTAACGACATGCACCTCATTATGCCAGGACTTGGAAACAATCCTTGAACCAGTGTGTAATGGACTGTGGCCTCTCTAGCCTCTACTTGACCGACACCAGGTTTTGCAAGACCTAGAGTTCTGATTTTCGTCTTTGAAATAATATCTACAAAAGTTTTCTGAATGAGACTATTCATGTCTCCTTCCCAAGGGTGTGCCAGCTTGCAGAAGAAGGTGGTTATAAAAATTAAAATGAGTCTAATATCTCAGAAGGTGAAGAATAACACCAAGTGCTGCTGTAAAATGTCCATGATATTATATCCTTCAGTACGTTGAAAAACAACTTTTTTCTGCTTACAGTTCGATGTTTCACGGCCAAGACCACATTGCCCACAAACCCTGCTACTTCCTGTCCCTGGAAGGATGCTGCTACTTCTCATCCAACTCTGAAAAGCATCTGTTTGTTTTTAAAAAGTCAGAAAGCAGAGATCTGTGTGTGAGCGTTCGCTCTGTTTGACCGGACATAAAGCTCCTCTGTCGTCCTCCCAAAGGACCAATCAGCCGCTCTGCAGCTGTGCGTCCGCACACACTGATGACAGCAGTCAGTTATTCACACACAGACACTTGAGGCTTCACAAAAGCACTGACTGCAATGTGCTGAAATATGTGGAAGCTGAATGTGCATGCACATGTGCAAACAAATGCATGTTGACCTCTGACCCCTGTGACCTGAGATCTGTCTCAGGAGAGCTCAGCTGGACGGCCATGACCACCTGCCCATCAGGTACTCTCGAAACACACTCATGCTTACACAACACTGTGCAGACAAAAGACAAGGTAAAGTTTGACAGTAAATTCACTATTTAAACAAATGTATCGTTTAGATTTATATTGTTACCTAACCTTAATCAACCAGATACAATCTTTTAACTTCTGATGCGATACCAATATTGTAGCCTTCAGTATTGGCTGATACCGATATTGATCTGATATTAGCACAAACTTGTGCATGACAAGTTTTGCACTCAGCTGCAACGTTTTTTTGGAAAATACTGCCACATGGCCGACATCACTCCTACTCCTTGCTACTTTGTTAGTACCTTCATACACACTGTTGTTGTGATTACCTGGGCTCTGCACGCTGGATCAGGGTGCTGCTAGATAGAGGTGCCACAGTGGAGTCTGGAATAGACTACTTGTTTCGGAGTGCTGATATCGGAGATTTTAGATACAGGCAGATATAATCCGATTTTTGTTTTTTTTCCGCTGATATCATCAAGAATCAGTCGCTTTGATCTGATTTAAGATAGTCACACTTTAGGAGGACTGTGCTGAATTTCCTGTGCTGGTTTGAGGATCTGTTTTTATTCCATCAACTGTCAAGGATGAGGGATGATTTTTGTGCAGAGAGAATTTTAACCCGGAGCACCCTAGGGTGGCAGGTGGGAGAGCGGTGTCACCTGAGGGAGCAGATCAGGTGGGAAAGGCTCAGGCAGGTCAGGGGGGTGAGGCGAGGTTAGATAAGCAGAGGTCAGGGGAGGAAACCTTTGCTCTGAGATCTGCATTTTCAACATACCCAAAGAAACTCAATGCAAAAGTGCCTTAAACCCCATGAGGGTCAGCAGGGGGTGAATGCAGTTCAATTCAGATGAGCTTTACTGACATGAAACATTTTTTATTCAACCAAAGGTCTCACCTAGTGCTGCAACTCAGACTATCGTCCCCTCTGTCGGCTGATTTGAGCAGCTAGCACGCCTCTTGCCATAAACCGGTGACAAAATAGCAGCTCCTAATTGTTGAGTTTAACACCTGGTAATTACAGGGACTCGTAAAAGTCCCCCCCTGACAGAGAAACCCACCCCGTCCCCTCCCTCCTCTCCTCCAAGGCCACACAGGGCGCCAATGCCAATCAGCAAGTCTCCTTTTCTAGCAGTTTTTTTCCCTTTTATAGCCCAGAGAGGGAGGAGAAGTCTGCTCTCATTTAGCTAACGGAGACCAATAAACATTGAGATTTAGATTAATTGATCATTTACGACCAGGCGGGGTGACTGCTGACTGGATCAGCTGGGATGACTTTGAGACGTTTGCTGTTGACCTCTACCGAGGCAGAAAACACTGGAAGCCAAGACCTTCAAAAGGCCAAGGAATTATGGGAAAGTATGAGTTTAACACACACAAACAAAACTAAAATACACCAAGTCTGAAGGAGAAAAAAGATACCCTCTTACTGAGCTTTAATGTTTTGAATCAGTCATACTTTAAGCCAATAAATTCTCTGGAAGTAAGAAAAGTACTGTGGATGATTTTTAAGCATAAATTTTATTCGCTTCATTTTTCAACAATCATTTTCTTGTCTCTTTTGTCGGTCCTCAAGGTTTCTCTGAACACAGGCATCAGAGTAAATCGGAGTAAATCCTTCATAGGACAAAATATACTGAAGGTCAGTCATGTTTATTTGAAAAAACTCAGACACAGATGCTCCATCATAGAAAAACTGTATTTTGTGTCTCACATTCTGCTTTGCACAGATTTGTTGAGTTTCTGGTAGATCACAGTCTGTCTGTCTAGTCCCTTTCTGGATAGTTAAAAGGTATATAAAACAGCAACTCTAGCCTGGCATAAACACACACTTCATTACGGCACAAGCGCCAACATTTGATACACACTTTTTATCCGATATGCTCCTCTTAATACCTCAATGTCATACTGACAGACTCAGTTTTTTATGCATTTTACACTGTGGATTAGGTAACAGTCCTGTCTGAACAGGCAATGTAAAAGGAATAAATGGGGTTAAAAATAAGTGGTTAATGTTTTACAATAACATCAAGTGGCAAAAGATCATACTGTCTTTTGCCAAAAGATAAGATTTTTGCTTAAATTACTACTGAACTGTGCGTCATTGTGACTGTTGTGCAACCACAAGTTTGATCTTTGTATGACTGTTCACACATTGTTAAAAAACAACATTGATTTATTGTATTAGTCCAACTAAAACTGCATTTCTAAAAAAATATGTAAACTCATTAGTCTACCTGAAATTGCATGAAATGAGACTTCTCAAACTTCTTGGACGAACAGACCTGAATAAAACAGCGGGGGTTAATCTTCTCTTACATGTAAACGGCTAAATTAAACTAAAACTGGCCTAAAAGTTCTGTGAATGATCCAGAGTTTGTACGCCAGCTTTTCGTGTGGAAGTTGGACAGCAAAAATATGTTGCGAGGGAGTTGGGTCGTAAACAAAATCTCAACAGATGGAGAAATAACGTAAAACAAATCATAACTGTTGTATCCTAGGAACAAAAGCTGTATCTTGAGTTTGTTTAGGTTTGTTCTGTCAGTAATCTGATTCTTGTTTAATGAATGTGAACTGAGACACAAACAGCAGTCTGGTTAAATCGCCTAATCAAGCTTTGACTGAAGCTCAGCTTAACCGTGAATGTTAACGTTCTGACTGCTATGCAGCGGTGAAAGTAGTATAAGGTTAGCAACCTACTGTTGTTCTGATACAGTAACATTATCAGCCATTTGTCAGTAGCTTACCCACTCCTGGTAGCTTTGCTGCTTCCTTCCTCTGCTCCTCAGCATGTTCGGATGCCACAGTATCATCGTCTGCTGCATCTCTCTTTCTCTTGAACATAAAATCAAAATTTTCTCTGTTTTGTTTGATTTCTGCTTTAAGTTTGAAGCAACCGTCTCTTTAAAACTTCCCTCCTTCCGCAAAAGGCGGGAGGCGAGCCCCAGCGCCTAGGCAACCCGCGTCCAATCAAAAGTGCGCACTGAGCGTTCCCACTTCCGGAATTTGTTTATTTGCGGAAGTAAATACGACTCACTCGTAAGCAGTATGGGCCTATTGGATTACTACGGTGACAATGCAGAGTGCAGACTGACGGAGACTGGCGGCAACAGGGTGAGCAAATGTAGTCTACATACATTACAGGAGTGAAAGTTTACAGACCGGCTGAAAACTGCTGTTTATGTCTTCACGGTACGACGTACCACTCCGTACCGGCTTACTGTCACTCCTGCTGCCACCGCAAATGTAATTGAAGCGCAGTAAAACAGACATTTAAAGCTCCTCATTTTACATTTTGTCTTAGTTTTCTCCTCATGTTGTTTGAGTGGCTTTTCTGTGTGTTTTCCCTAGTGTTTCTGTTCCCCTGTAGTCCAGTCTTGTGAGTTTTCAGTTTGTGTTTGACCCTGTCTCCCTTCTATTCTCTATGTTTTAATCTTTAGATCAGTTTTCAGTGTTTTTTTCTTGTTTTATTTTGTAGTAGTTATTCCCTGTGTTTCTAGTCTGGTTTTACTTCCCTAGTTTTCCCTCCTTCGTTAATCACCCATGAGTTTCACCTGTGTCTCGTTTGCCTCACCTGTTGCTCGTTTCCCAGTGTGGACATGGTCCCTGTCTTCCTCTCTGTCCTTGTTGTATCATTGTATGAATGCAGATGCTTATTCTTGTGTCCTCTGTTGCTCCTTTCGATTTTGCCCCTAGAAATTTTTCTTTATTTGGATTTTGCTTCTTGTGTTTTTTGCATTTGGGATTTTTTTGTTGCTTTTCTTTTGCTCCTTTTGAATAAATCCTTTTTTGTTCTGTATTTTGGGTTCTTTCCCTTTTCCAGAACTCCGGATCGTGACAGAATGAATCAACAAGGGCAGAGGGGAAGACAGGGACCATGTCCACACTGGGAAACGAGCAACAGGTGAGGCAAACGAGACACAGGTGAAACTCATGGGTGATTAACGAAGGAGGGAAAACTAGGGAAGTAAAACCAGACTAGAAACACAAGGAATCAACTACTACAAAATAAAACTGATAAAAAGACTAAAACACAGAAAACAGGAGGGAAACAGGGTCAAGCACAAACTGAAAACTCACAAGACTGGACTACAGGGGAACAGGAACAATAGGGAAAATACACAGAAAAATCACTCAAATAAACAACACAAGGAGAAAACTAAATTAACAAAACATATCATGACAAACAAGATTGTATTTAAAACTCAAACAAAAGAGCCTTGTACTGTTTGCAAACCAACATACTCATGATTTCTCTTCTGCAATCTTGCGTGAAGATACTCGGTTAGGTTTGGCCAAGAGTTGATGATTTCAGTACCAAAAATGTCAGCGGTGTCAGAGAGCGCCTTTCTGTGACAGAGACCATATTTCTGAGTCCTCTGTGAAGCATGCCTATCCTCTAAGATCCACAAAGCCACGTCTAATATTTCCCTTTATTCAGGGGACAAAATAAGTGGTAAAGATGTTAACAAGAAGGAAACAAAACGGAAGTGTGTCGCTGATCTGATCTGACCTTAAACATTCAAAGGGTTTTTCTCAGGCTAAAATTTGACCAATGTTATAACTACTCACTCTTGGTCCACTCAAAATACCCCCACTCCCAAGTTTTCACTAAAATTGGCCCTGAAAAAGCTGCACACACACACAGAGTAGTGTATAATGACAGAGCCATTGTTGTTTGTGTCCAGCGAGCTGCCCTCTCAGACAGCGTCAGTGAAACACCAGGAATTTAAACATACACTACATGTCTGTGTATCTGTGAGTCTGAGTGCTTCTCCTGTGTAATTTTATTTAACTTTTATACACAAAAAGGCCTCCCAGCCTCTCGGGGAGGTGACTTTAACAACAGGCTGCACACATGGGAAAGTTTTTTGGTAATTTGACTTCATGAAAACAGCAAATCATAAGCTACGGTTATAAAGAAAGGATCAATAGCAGCCAGGTTTCCCTCTAATTCTGGTGTTCAGTAACTGTTTTCATTTTCTCATGATGCCATGTTAAGCCTCATTTTATTTTCCAGTTTACGTTTGAAGCACAAAGGCCCATTTTCTGGATATGAAATCCCTACTTTCCTCACAGTTCAAGTATTTTCTTCCTCTGCTTGGATGTTTTGCAGCAGTGGCAGGTTTCAGTCTCATAAATCTGGAAGAAAACACTTGTGTAGTGGTTGTATAGCATCTTTGTCAGTGGGGTCCTCCAGCCCGGGCCGAAGATGCCTTCTCATTAATTCGGGGGTGCTGGGCCTTATTGTTGTGCTAATCAGGCACAGATGTGGACACCCCGACTCCAGAAAATCATCCGAGCAGTCTCGACAGCAGACGCCTCTCAGGAGGGAGGAGGGGGAGGCCGTTCTGGGGGGACCGTTATAATTGTTTTTGACAGGGATCCAAACCAAATATGTACATGCGTGAAAATGAATCAAGCTTGAGCTGTCAACCTCTGAACTGAGATATTTATGATGGTGGTGCGGAGGGAAGAGTCGGGATTCCTTTGAGGAAGAAGATTTTTAATTATGGTTTTAGAAGAAGAGATGAGGAGACAGAAAAATGTAATCCTTCCTTCCTTATCCTAATATGGGCAAGACATTTAACTTAATTCTGCACTGACAGAGGTTTAAACCTACAGTCAGTCACTGGAGGGAGTTTTTTCTGGACCTGGAGTTTCTCGAGTTTCAGCTTCCTTCCCTGGGCTGATACAGTTACATAAAAATGCCACTAATGGAAAATGGTCTATAAGTCTGTCTTGAGATTTCATAGAGATTTAGGAGTACATGTGTGAAAGAGGTTTTATTAGACCGGATGGATCCTCTCCAGGGTGAAACCTCATTCTACGTTTATCATCATGGCTGTTTGTCTTCTTCGTTCACACTCTCAGAGGAAAGTGTGTTTCCTCCTCTGTCACCAACTTTCCCTGTCATTGTGAGTCAGTGCAGGAATCCACCTCTGTGTTTGTGTGTGTGTGTCTGTGTGTGTGAGGTGGTTAGAGAGCTCCCGCTGCTTTCCTCTGACCCATGCTTCCTGTCTCCACACACCTGCTAACACACTCACACATGCAGACATACACACAAATCAACATGCTTCAGAGTCAGAGGAATTAATTATTCTATAAGGTGCAGAAGTTTTTGTCAAGTCTACCTCATAATCTTGCTAGCTGAAACAAACCCAAAAGCAAATGTCAGTCTAAGACCCACTACATGCATGCTTTTTCCACACACACACAAAAATGTATCAGGTCTTGTGTTGGACTGGATATCACGGAGTGTCCACTTGGTTGCTGAATAGAGATGTGATGTTTGTGAATAAGTCAGTAGTTTGAATGGCTGTTTTAAGAGACCAGTGAGAATTGTTCATAGTGGTGAGCCGTTCATTTGTGAGCTGTCCTCATATTCAGATTGCCCACGCTGCCTTCACGTGTTACAGTTACAATGTCATATAGCAGACGTTTTTATCCAAAGTGATGTACATATCAATCATACACCAGTTGAGGACATGCACTAGGAGCAAGGTAGTTTTAAGTGTCTTACCCAAGGACACAACAGATATATCTGTTGTGTCCTTGGGTAAGACACAACAACCTTCCAGTTGTTGGACAACCGCTCTACCTCCTAAGTTATTGCTGCCCCATGTCACCTGTGTTTCCAAAATGCCAGGTAGGATAGTACAATTTTCCATTTACGTTTCTATCATGTCTTCATTTTTTATCAGTTAGCTGCAGTCTGCTTAGTTTTTATTGTGCCATAAATTTTTTTAGGTGAGGGAAAATTTCAAAATAGTGATCTCACTGTCCAAGCATGGGGATATGGCACCATCCTGTGATATGTTTACAATGAAAGCAATATTGATATTTCAAAATAATTCCTACCAAAAGAGCATATATTGGTGGGTTGTATACCCCTGGTTGACTTCTAAAAATTAAATAAGTTTAATGGAGAGCCAGTTTTATTTGAACAGCTCTTTTAAAAGAAACGGTTCCTCAAAATCCGACTCCCATTAAAGAGCCATAAATCCCATCTCTCTTGCAAAAAGCATCAGAGGTCACATAGTTCTCGAAGTCCAGTACATTTCGGTTGAAGGATTAATTCAGTCTTATTTGCTCATTTTCTTAACTCTTAGTTTTGGATATTTAAAGGTTATTAAGAGGCAGGCCTGGATTGATTTGACAGTAACGCTGTGGATATTTTACCACACGCAAGGTTAACGAAAACTTAGTCAGCATTTCTAATATGGTGACTGTTTAAAACTCCACTTCACAATCCCATGGTTGATGTGACTTAGACCTCATTCATACTTTATATACAGATTTTTCGTGGTGTTAGTGTCAATATTCAGAGATTATATGTTACACATTGAGATGTTTTGTATTGACAGATTTCTCCTCTCCTCTTTTGTTGCTCATACGGTTGAGGAGATTATGCAAATTATGAAAACAACTCTATTTCCTAATTATACACAACTCTTCTTACCCTTAAATTTGCATCTAAGATACTTGTGCATACGTGGTCAGTTACCCTTCATCTCTGCGCTGAAACGTCTTACTTTCACAAGCATTCCTTCACAGTTTCTTTGACATCCAGCCAATCAGAATCTCCGATAGACAAAACCCATCCTCTCTCATTCAATCCCGAGCAGCTTTAATTAACCCTTTGTGTGTCCAGGGATGGTGAAGAGGGCCTGGCTCATGTCAGAGGATGAATGAGCTGATGCCGGAGACACTGTGGGATTAAGAATATCCCCCCAGAGGATGATGGGACATGAAGGGAGGGGAGTCAGTCTGTTGAGATTAACACCTCGGTTTGCTTTTCCCACATGGCCTCTCAATCCCTCTGGAATGCTGCATTGCTGTCCCTTCAAACTAACGTCTTTCTTTCCATACAGAGCTAATTAGAATATGAGTCCAGACCCTAAAATGGTCACGAGTTTCTTCTGTTTCCACATGAAAAGAGTGTTTTTGATAAGGAAAGCCGTGGCTAACAATTCTAACTGTATCCAGGAGGGTTGTTGACGAACTCCAGGGTTTTAGTTAACACCTGCTAAATTCATGGCTTCAGAAAGGTATTTTATTTTATTCAGGTCCTGCTGTTTTGCATTTCTAGATAACCTATTTGATTAGTTTTAGAATTATTTCTATGTTTCTTTAAAGTGCTAGATCTGTGGATGTAGATTAACTAATTTAAATAATAACAGTCCTTTAGGGTTTTCAGTCAAGATAGTGTAAGTGTTTTTAAGTCTGCTTCTTTACGATATATATTTTACTTAAAAATATATAATTGTTTGTTCATTTTCTCAGTTTAGCATAGAATTTTAGGTACTTTAGTAGAAAAACAAGCTGAAGAGAGGCAGAAAATGATGGGGGTAGAGAGAGGGGGCGAAGGCTTGAGGCCAGGAATCGAACCACCAACCGTTTTGACGGGGACTGCAGCCTCTAAACATGAAGCATAGATCAGCAGGCATCAATGCCCCCATCAGACAATTTCTACCACCGTTTGATTCTCAGTCATGATGCCAATAAACGGTAAAATATTTGTAGTTTTACTCACTGAGATTTAAGTCATTCATATTAAGTTGTACTTCTGGTTCGCACAAGGACAGAAGCAAGAAACACTGACAGGAAAGAAATGTCCATTTTCTATTGGTTACAAATTGGTGGGAATCACCGAAGAGGAAGTACACTATTCTGTTTGGTAAAAATGTAAAGGTCCAGTCAGCTTTAAGTTTAATTTGAATACTATAATGCTGTATATTCCACTATGTATCTTGACAAATCTTAACACCATCGCCACCACCATTGTGTGTGTGCACTCCCCTAACTCTGACATCTCCTCATTGGTTCATATTTATAGGTCCTGTTTTGCCTATTTGATTGTTAGTTGACAGTTTGAGGGGACCCATGATTAAACCCTGAGGAACTCCATATTAAACAGGGCAAGTTTGACAATAATATGACGGATTTCTTATTTTCTGTTGTTAAGAATTATCAAGAGTTTTATTATCATGGTGAAATACAGAGGTCAAAGACGTCAACAATGGTTGATTTAGAGATGTTAGATTCACAAAAGTCAAGACCCATTGTGGTTGAGATGTTTTAATTAGATCGATTTCTTTTATTGAGATGTTTGCCTCAGACTGGAGCTGCTCACTTCACGTCTGATGATGGACATCACCAAGCTGTGGACAAACTGACGGCCACAGGGCCTAAAAGTATGAGCTTAAGGTTTAAATCCCTTATCGCCTAACATCCCATTGTCCCCCAAATCCATCCTACCTTTTAAAAGAAGCCTACTATGAGCCCTGCAACAATGTGGCCCGTAAGACCCCCCTGGACAAAAAGAAAAAGAGATCCCTTCTCTTTCTTACCCCCAGCTCTCTCTCTCTCCTTCACTCCGTATAAAAGCCTGATCCTCCAGTGTGAGAAGCTCTTAATCAGGGGCCAAACAATGAGACCCCAGATCCCTGCTCCTTGACAGAGGGCCTGATCTAATAAGCAGAGGCGAGCTGAGATGAAGGGGGTGCAGGTGGCCTGATCCGAGGGATTACTGGGAGAGATCTACGCCAGAGTGGGGGTGTTGGAGTGGGGGGAAAAGAAGGAGCAGATAAGGGGAATGATAGGTAAAAGGGAGTGCATGATGGAAAAGATAGAAGATAGAAGAGTAGACCAAAGAGGACTGACATATGACAAAGTTAAGATGATTTGAGACGGCTAAATATGTATCTAAAAACTTCAATTTATTAATGTCAGAAATATGATAGAAACTGAGTTTTAGTTTGCACTTTTGAGAGTTTACACCTCATCCCTTATGTTTTATTTTTCATAAATTTTGTCACAGTTTCAGCTTTAGTATCATAGCAAGAGTTTACTCCGCATGAGAACTCTTTTTACTTAATAAATTAATAATAGCAAGATGGATGGCCATAACTCTTACAAATCTCTGGGTCTTGACCTCAGGAACACCTCGTCACTTTTGCAGCAGTGATGCTGAATAAACTGCACACCTGAACTTTTTTGCTCTTTTAAGCAAAGTTTTCTAAATTTTGTTAAAGTTATGAATAATGGTAAGACTTAAACAATATTCCTCCTCCTAGCACTTCCTTGGTCCGTCCTGCCTGCTCCACATTTATAGTGATCCTGTCTCGCCCCTGTAGCTACATACAACTTCATCCTACCACCACGTGTGTAACTGTAACATGCGTGTTGAAAGTGAGATTTTACCAGAGTGTAAAAGTCCAGCCTTGAACTGGACCTATTTAAGTACCTTGTGTTTTATGTTTGGTCTCAGATGTGTGAGGAAGAAACTGATTCAAATTTAAAGATCTGGTGAAAGGTTGCTGGTGTTGCTTCTGGTGAAGGGGGTAGCAGACATCACAGCTCCCCTCCAGCCCTTCCAGGCTGCCCTCCAGCACCACTTTTTTCTTCCTCTCAATCCAAAAGCCTTCCTTCATCCCCTGCTTAGCTGCCTCTTAACCCTACCATCACCCCGAGGTCCATCCCTTCTTCTTCCATCCCCCTCTCCTCTGTGAAAAATCTCCTCCCTGCAGCCGTAATCACATGATGACTGTACATCTGTTCAGACACAGACAGCACAAGGTGTTGGTTGATACAAATATTCTCCTTTATGGAATGGAGACAGCAAAAACATCCATCAAATAAACACATTTCCTGATTGGACTTAGTAAGACAAGCCCAAAGATGGTTGAAATATGTTTACAGGCAACTTTTCATAGCCAGAATTGCGTATATCGCAAAGCCTAGGTATCAGTTTGGTCTTAAAGTCACTGGAGGTTGACCACAGACTTCATGTTGTGTGGGGTTCATTCATTGGAAAGCTGGAGTGCGTGGCTCTCAGTGTGAAGGGAGGGGGTGTGTGTGTCTCTCTTCCTGTCCCAATGGAGAGGGCGGATCCATTAGCAAGAGCTACTGTGACGCCGAGTTTGAGACCTTTGAAGTCCTCGCAGCAGCACGCTGCAGAGGCGGAGGAGCAGAGAGCTGATGTGTAGAGGTAGGGTCCCCAGAAATTCACTGTGGTGTCATATAAACTAAAGACGTTTGCTCTTTTTCTAAAAATTCAGAGCTTTTGGTGAATCCAAAATCTTGAAATTGACCTTACTAAGACCTGGGGAAAGCCTGATGCTCGGCCCGCTCTAGGAAAGTTTTTAAACCTCACCAGATGTTGAATTCGTGACAAAAACGAGACCCCACTCGACAGATTTGTTTATACAGTGTGAGGAGTGAGAGGATATCACCATACATTTTATAGGTCACAACATCTTTCACAATCATGTAGAAGTAATCAAACATGGTGGATGGCTGACAGGGAGGTTGACGTGTGGGATACATGCTACAAGGTAATTGGGCCGATTTTGAGCCAGATTCCCACCAGAGCTGTTGCGGGATTTTTGTGAAATTAAGCATGATTTCACCTCTTACTTTCTTCTTCTTAGTTTTTAAAATTGTGGCGATATACATCCCTTAAATTTCTTTTGACAATCTCAGGTACACCATGTACAAAAAGTTGCTTATGTAGCAGATCTGAGTATAGGCAGTATAGTTAATAAGGCTGCTGTAGGAATCAGTTCAGAGTACAGTTGATAGACATTAGTATTGTTGCCTTTGTATCTGTGCTTACGATGCCTGTCAACCGATGTGTTGACAGTATCAGTGAATTAGCAACAAAAATACACCAGCAAAAGGAAAGAGTATAAAACAGCTTCATTACCTGCACAAACATTTAACTGATTGTGCAACACATACAAACAATCATTCATGCCTAAATGGCTCACTGTTAATTTTCCTGATTTCTATATGCTGTTTTTTCTTAGCAGCACATCTTGACTTACAAATTTTACTGTATAGTTTGGTCCCACCCCTGATGGTAGCGCAGAATAAAGCAGACTTTGTTTTGTGTCAAATGTGTCATAAATTGTGGATATTTTCTGTGGAAATGGTAGAAATAGAGCTTTTTCTTTAACAGCTCCCCCTCACACAAGTTTCAGGCCCTAAAAATCAGGATTAAAAACTCGCAGTTTTGATGCTAGTGGTCTCATTTGCTTTTGGATACCATTGGAAAGCATCAATATGAGTTTCAGTCTATTTCCTAGATGTGAAAAAAACTCCTTATAGTAGCTTTAATCAATCAACAAAACTGAGGGTTGTATTACTGTGATGGAGAAGCATAACAGCTGCATGCTCAGGATGGAAGAGGCTGAGGATGAAACTCTGCTATATGCTTAGTCTGGTTTTGCATGTCCATTTTATTCATGAGATGTTGTTAAATTTGTTTTTTAGACTTGTGAGTGGTCTGAAGATTTTTTTGGGATGAATATTTACCTCAAAAAGATGATATTTTGTCATTTCAAATAGCTTTTTTCCCCGTTAAACACTCATGTTGGGAAACAGTAAAATATCATGTGACTTGTCTTGGATTTTTCAATTTTTCAAAAACCAAAGCACTCAACACTTAAAGCTCATTAACGAGCCCCAGAAACCAAAGATTATCGTGTGATTGTTTCCAGGCTGTGGAAATCTTTTATCTGACATCAGGAAGATAGAGGAAGACAAGTATTATATAAAGTCATGGGATGAGAAAGAAAAGCAGAAGAGGACAGAAGACAGAGGAGGTTCAGGAGGAAGAGTCAGGCCACAGATCTGTTTCCATCCTCTCTTTCTGTTTATTGAACTGTAATCATGAATAATACCCACCATATGTAGCACGTTACCGGATTTCCTCCGCTGTGCTTCAGCCGGGAGTCTGCGTTCACTCAAACTCCAGTGTTAAGGTTAACCAAACATGTCTCTGCGCGTACATCCTGGCTACATCACACAGTGTGTTTGGACGGCAGCAATCCCTCCATGGCTGGCCAAACTATCTGTAACTAAAGACACATGTGTGTAAAGTACCTAAAAATGGGCTGTTAGGCACATAAACCCTCAGTGAGTGAATGAAGGAGTGTGAGCCCGTGAGCTGTGATTAAGAAGAAGATCACACTCATTTAGACATGAAATATTTTATATCACCTCGTATATTTGTGAAAATGTTACACCTGTGTTGGTTATAAATCAACTTTGACAGTATATGAATGTGCCCAGCATGAATATTTGATAAATGAAACTTGTTAAAGTGGATGGCATGAGTAGAAAAGGGCTGGAATTTGACCCTTAGTTATGTTTCAGGCTCTTATTGTTGTTCCTGTTGCTTTAGAGACAAGCGTTAAAAAGATGGGGAAGGACAGGAGAAAGTTAGAAAATGGCTGTTTGTGCAGGCGGTCAGAGGGTTTAACAAACTCAAAACTTCTTCCAAGAAATTTTACAAAAGTCCTAGACTGTGTGGAAAATGGACACAGCCGCCATGTTGTCTTTGATTGGTTTGTCGACAAAGAATCAAGTCTGGAATCGTCGCAGTTTCCTTGGTGGTTTTGTGGGTCCAGAAGTGGTGCAGATGTAAGGAGAAAGATCTGCACCCACAGTTTATGATCCGTACAAAACACACTATATTATCTAACTTTGATAATGGAAACTATAATTTCAAGTAAATTAGCAGAGGGAGCTGCTGAATAACTGAGCCTTTATGGTAAATACTTAGTTTAAATCTACACCTATGGCAGAGTCATTGGAGTTTGTAACCGTTGTTTCCCATAGTGTTGGATTCTGGTAGTTATAGTTGATGACTAAAGTTGATAAATCATCACATTAATTTTGCTAAAAGAGCTTGCTCTGTCTGGACCAGATTAGGATTAACTAACTCACTCTTGGCGCCAACTTCATCGCAATTTAAGGCGCATTTTTAGCATTTTTTTAGACCTCAAAGGTTGTGATTTGGCAAAATACAAGAACATCTCCCAGGTACCATATGAGTGAAAATTATAAGCAGGTATTAATAATTTCGTATTCATTTAAACTGAGCTATAATATTTCTCTAAACCTAACCACTTTGGAGGTATTTGCCAATATCATTTTGAAGAAATATAATAATCCACCTGCTCATTTGTTTCCCTTTTACTCCCACACATAAAGTATGCAAAGCAGACCATTTAAAATCATTTACTCAAAACTTTTTCCTCTGTATTTGTTTGTGACTTGGTGCGTAAATAAGCAGCATCCTGTGATACTCTTGCAGCACTTAGGGAGAAACCAAATGAGCTCTCCGCTCAGAGTGAAACTCGGGGAAAAGTGACGCAGCAAATAAGAAGAAAAGAGAGGGAATCCTCCTCCACCTCTGCCCGAGGTTATCAGTGCCGGGTTATTTCAGCCGTGGCATACCTCCCAAAAACTTCAAAGAGGGACGAGTTCACACACACACATACACTCTCACACACACTCACAGGCAGTCCGCCAGCCAAACAAATAATTAACAAAGTCAGTGAGGTTAATTAAAGCGGCAGGGTTCAGGCAGGGTTCAGCCTTCTGTGTGGGAGAGGGGGGAGAGCGGGACTCCTCTGCTGGATGCGATTAGAGAACCAGAGAAGAAAGGGAGGAGAGGCGAGGGAAAACAGTGGCTGTCATTGATATCCATCTTCATGTAAACAGCTGGCTGTGTGGAGGTGTGCGTTTGTGTGTGTGTGTGGGAGAAATACTGTTTAGAAACTTTGCGTCCTACTGAGCCTCAAGCAAAAAAACTCCAGCTTTTGTTTTTCAGGAGTTTCATGTGTCGATAAAGTAAGATAAACCTCACTGACATAAACTCAAATGTACTAAAACACATTTTTTACATAAGCTAGTTTCACCCACGACACATAAGAGACAGAGGTTATCAAGAGGAAGCATCTTACTGAAAATGTAAAAGTCATCTGAAGACTTTATTGTACATAACATGAGAATTTCTCTGTAAACTGTGTAATTATGATTTTATGGATCATTTACATGAGCTTAATGACTATTATGTTGACTAACTGCATGTGTCTCGACATCATTATCCCTCGTTTGGAAACACAGTAACTTTCTTACAGCATTGAATCATAAAAAGAGTTATCAATAAATGCACATAAGTAAACACACAGGACCACATACTAAAATGATCAGTTTGCAATAAAAGTCACATCATCCAGTAGATTAAGCTAAATGTCATAAAAATGTAAATATTGTTTTTTAGTATTTATAACACATCATGTTTAAATTCTTAATAATCAGTATTTAAAGGCAAATTTCTGACTCATGCAAATTAAATGGTTTTAATGGCTATAATAGGGTTGTACTGCTTTTCTGATTAAGTATAGTATGTAAACACTGTATGAGTACATGTTTCTAATATTAAATTGTAATGTCTTTTTCATTTATTAAGTAGAATCAGTAAATGCCTCCCTGATTAAAAAAAATGTATATATGTAAATCTGCATCTCTATCCAGTTTCTCTCTTGTGCTTGTTGTCCTGTAAGGCTACATTTGACCTCCTGGAGAGTAAACACGGCTTTTATCTTATCTGATATCGGTTAGATATTTAGCATGAATTAAAATATTTGAAGTAGCGAAAGCTTTAAAATCGTGTGTGTGCTGTAACCTCCTACCACTGTGAGAATGGGTACAGTCTCATCACATGCAAAAGCTTTCATTGAGATTAAATCCAGTGAGAGACAGCAGATGTTTAGAGTTGGATTTGCACCATGCATGCAGCCTTAAAGACGAGTGCAATCATCCACAAACACGATATAAAATACCTCAAAGTAGGCACAATTCTGGAGATGTGGTGACACAAATGTATCTTTAATGTTGTTTAATCCTTAATCCTGTTTATTCCATCCCTACAACATCCAAACTAACCCAGTTTGGCCGCACAGCATGTCTCTGTATTGACAGGAGCACCGATACATCAGATGACGTGTTTTAATAGCAGCTCACTCTCTCCCTCTCTCCTTCTCTGTCTCTGGGACCCTCCTCCTCCTCCTCACCCCCCCCCCCCCCCCTTCTCGCCCCCTCCCCCGGTCTCTTTCAGCTCTGTGTTTTGGCAGCAGCTCTCCTCCTGCATCACAAAGCCCGTACTCTCAGCTTGTCCGATTGTGTTGCGAACATCGCAGGTAATGATTAACACAAACACACAACAATGGGAGCTTCAGCACTGCAGCCAGCGTGGGAGTCAATCGTCTTCGAGTCTGGATGGAGAGAGACCACAAGCATGCTGGGTGATTTTAGCTTTGTAGGTTCGAGAAAGATGGAAAAAAAATTGTTGCAATTCTGACAACTGTGGAAGGACCAACACGTCAACAGCTTACTAACTTTTCTGATACCCTGACTCTTTCTCTTATACCAAAAGTTCAGAAAGACAATAAAAAGGAAACTCAGTGAAGTTAAACTGATCACTTGCTCCTTAAAAAAAAGGGTTTCTTCTTCTTGGGATTTGCCTTTTTCTTTTTTAAAATATCAGATTTATATTTTAATGATTAGATTTTGATTGATTTAAAGCAGCAGTTTACTCTTTTATTCTTCTTGTTTCTCTCTCAAAGCTACAATACAAAGTTTTACCAGGGTCCTTTAGAGTCGATGTGATCATTTTGGAGAGGAGCATTCACCAAACACTCAGAAATTTAAATGTAAATGGGACCTGATGTTTCCATAATGAGTCCCCGCTGTGACGTAGACTAATGAGCGACCAGCCACACCTCACACATTCCTCCTGACCTTTACTCCACCTCACTTTCCCTCCACCCAGGACACACAACCCCTCACTTTACCCCATGATTGTCATTCACCCCAACATCACCCCTCCTCCTCAATCTGTTATCAGCTGTCAGGCACCAACCAGCCCTGGTATTCCCCCGTTAGCATTAACATCAGTATGCAGCAGGCCTATCAATGCTATCTGGACCTGAGGGCGGCGGGAGGGTCAGGAGGGATCCCTTGTATCTCTGATGTCATCAGATAAAGATGGAGGGTGGAGGGTCTGGTCCTGGTCAAAGAGAGGAGTCTCTATAGAGGTGTTTGACTCGATCACAGAGAGCTTGAGGTTCAGCTACAGAAAGAAGAACTCTTTTTGACGATTTTTTGTAGATATATTTCTTATTTGAGACGCTAAGAGCGGCAGAACAAAGAAGCCTAGCTGGGACTTAATGGAAACTGATCCTGTGGTCTTGTAATGATGTAAATACTCCAATTTCAAGCCTTGTTGACTCTTGATCAGATACCGAGCAGTGTTAGTGATTTTCTGCCCCACAACTACCAATTAAAGTCATCAGACAACATCTTCACAGGAAAATTCCAATCCATGTAAGAACAGATTTTCTATCCAGCTTCTAAGAAATGTGACCGACCCAATAAATTTACATATTTTCATTTTGTTGTTTTCTAATCCTCCTACCTTAGACCTACAAAATGTTAACATGCTCTCACAGGAATATTGTATTGAGAATGGTGTAGGAGTTGTGCTAAACAAACATGGCTTTCCAATTTAAAGTGTGGGAAGTTTCAAGTCAAGAGTGTGGGAGCTCTGTTGAGACAGGCTACTTGACAAGTCCGCTGTAGTTTGCAGTTCAGGAGCTTTGCCGCTCGGAGGAATGAGCAAGGGAGAGTCTCAGATATCGCTAAATATCTGTGCTGAGGTGACCATACATCCTCTTTTACCTGGACATGTCCTCTGTTTTGGGGGGGCTGTCCGGCCTTGTCCGGGGGAGTTTATAAAATCCTTCTAATGTGCGGCGTTTTCTATGGAAGTTTTAAGTTTGTGCCATGTGGACTTTCTGAGTTAGAAGTGCGCAAAAAACACTCAATCCAACCTGAAAAACTCTCAAAATTAACTACTTGCGACTCTGTGACTCCGCCCTCGCATAGTCGTGTCCTCTTTTTGGGGGAATCAGAAATTGTTTTAAAAAATTGTGTAAAATTGTGCAGTTCTTCCAGACGGAGCTCTTTGCTCATTAAAAACACTAGAAAAATTGTAGATATTCCTCATTTGGTTACTTACTAGTGATTTTTGTGATAAAATGAATTCATATTTAGCATTAAAAATAATTTAGCAGAGTTGGGCCATTTAAATATGATTTTTTTTTTAAATAAAAGACATTGAAGATCAATTATTGATCCCTGTTAGCTTATAGGGATCCCTTAATTTGGGTCTTAAGTTGATGATCAACAGACAAATTCGGCACCTGAAAACTGTCTGTGTTTACTTCCAGAGCTCAGCTGAAAGGAGCCTCAATGGGCTTTGTGTAAAAGGTGTCTGTGTGAAGCAATGGAGGTGACTGCAATCCCACCTGTGGCCCATTAGCACAACAACACGGTGCAATAACATTAACGCTGCCGTCCCCTCCCAAAACACAGGTAATCTATCAGCCTAAACACACACACACAAAAGACCCCCCCACCACCACCCCTCAAACACACACACAAACACACATATAATCCTGCCCCACATTCAGGGCAAACCTGGTGGGCAACATTAAATTAATCATTTATGGAATCTGAGTTCCTCTGTCCTGCTGTTTGAGAGCCCATAGTCCCTCTCTCTCTCTCTCTCTCTCTCTCTCTCTCTCTCTCTCTCTCTCTCTCTCTCTCTCTCTCTCTCTCTCTCTCTCTCTCTCTCTCTCTCTCTCTCTCTCTCTCTCTCTCTCTCTCTCTCTCTCTCTCTCTCACACACACACACACACGTATGCTCAGGTATGACACAAACACAATAACGGGCCCAGCGGTCGACCTCCTAGCGCCGGCTGGCATTAGCACGGCTCTTATCTGCTTTATGACTTCCACTCTGCCTGCTTTATTTGTGTACTTTGACTTTCGCTGTAAAGCTCCGTCTGACCCCAAGTAGCGCCGCGCGGTGTCAAAGGTCAAATCTGGAACTTATTTCAACTCATAAATTTCAGCAGAACGCACTCATACTGCGGCCACTTGAGGAGTTTGACCCACGGATAAAAGTCAATCGAGTGAGCAGCTTTTTTGGGGGGAGTTATGTCGAATGATTTTCCCTCCTTTAGCACCCTTGTGGCTCACTTGGCTGAAGCAGGTATTGTGTAACCATGTGTGTATCCGGACCAGGACCTTTGTAGCCTGTGATCGCCCTGTCTCCTCAACACCTCCTGTCCATTTTCACAATAAAATAAAATGTCTGACAGTGACCTTGGAGGGTTCCCAAGAGACTGAAATGAAGTTTCACCATTTTTGACATTTATTAGGACATAGGTTAACTCACTGCTGAACTTAAATGGCTTTTAACTGTAATGCAGATATTTTAGTGCATTCGGTGGGAAATGAAATCTTTCTCAATACTTTTGTGGTTGTGGTGACTTCTGAAAGGCCAATAGTTCTGCGTAAATCAGGCAAGATGCTGATTCTTTCCAAATGCTTGTATGGCCAAAAGTGTCCTCTTTATATGATGGATGAGCATGTGGATCAAAAGCCATGTGGACTAAAGAGTTATTTCAAAATCTTCCTTATTTTTTTGGGCTTTACAACACTTTCTTTTTTTCATCCTAACTGCAAACATATAAAGTTGAGAAAGTTCAAAGTTACATTTAGACTCAAAGTCGGGGTCTGGGTAGGCCTGGTCCAGTCCAGTCCTGCAGCTTAAACCCTGGAAAAACAAACATGTTGTGATTCCATGTTGTCCAATACTAATGTTATGTAGTCGTATTGGGTTAACCTCAGACAAAAATACACTAAAAAATACAACTCCGCTTTAAAGCTCCTGTAGGGAGTTTTTATCTGGTTATGAAACCAGTTGGAATTAAAACAGATGCCTCGACATACCTGACAAAAACAAACATTTATGTATGATAAATGTACCAAGTTGTCTCCAAGTCGACCTATAACCAAAACAATCAACAAACTGCATTGACACATGGATATTTGTCACTTTTATTGACAAATCCTGTCTTTATCTTTTTAAGTTTTGTTTACATCCTGCTTTCCCTAGCAATACATCTATGCTATTTATCTTCCAAAGCCTGGCCTCCAAATTCTGGAGCTTGCACAAAAACCTCTCCCTCTGTATTTCTCCCCAGCTCAGCAGCGGCGAGGTGGTTGTCTAACATGAGTCTGGTCCTACCCCAGGTTTCTGCCTGTTAAAAGTAAGTCTTTCCTCACCAGTGTCACTCATGTTAGATGAGATGGGTCAAATCTGTCCCATGTCCCATGGTCTAGACCTGCTCTTTCTTTTTTTGGAAAGCGTCTTTGGATAACGACTGTTGTGATTTGGCACTATATAAATAAAATTTGATTGATTGATTGATTGATTGATTGATTTAATTTGAGGCACTGGGCCCCGGCTGATCTGGCAGCCCAAACACATCTCGTACCTTCTCCGGTTTGAACCGTTTACATGACAGACGATGTTAGTCAGACTATAAGAAGTCTGATTTTGTGCAATTTAAGTTAACTTACATGTTTATTAAAAGTTTATAAAAAGGTTTCAGTCAAATTAGCCAATAAATCAGTTTTTTAAACAACATGTGAACATGCTGGGGGATGTTGGGGTGCTACTGGTCAAACAGGAATAAGGAACAGGAGCAGCTGATGACCACAGAAGATATGAGCATGTGTGAGGAGTGTATAAAACATAGTGACGATGAATCATCATACATATATATTTTAGGCACCTTCATTGAACTTATTCTGTCTTACATTTTCATGGGAAAGATCTTTAAGGAGAGGTATACTTCTTACTCACATATAAAGGGCAAAATTAAGGTGGTGCAACTTTGGCAAAACTGATGCAAATCAAAAGTTCCTCACATGAGCTTTAAGATATTTGTTTTCACCTGAGACTGGGATGAGAATTCAAATGTTTTGGACACTTTTTTCTTCTATAATCCAAAATTTGAAGAGCTGAAGCAAAAGTTAGAAGCTTCAGAAGCAAGAAAATAAAATAAAAACTCCAGTACTTGTTGTTGCATTTGTGGTTTTGAGCAATTTTCAGCTCTGATTATAAAATGAGTCAACAGTATTTTGTCTAATCCCCGAGAAGAGTTTGAAGTGATTCAAGTGATGCAAAAGCAAACTGAAAAAGTGACAAAAAAAAGTTAATGAGTGTTTCCATGTTATCTTGAGTTCACACTTTTATCACTTTATCACATCAAGGTTTCCTCTTTATCTTCCTGTAAACTCGTCTCACACTGATTCCTCCTCTAAGATTCTCACTCTCAGTTTCCATGAAAATATGAAGAGTATAAATCTATTTCTCAAATCTGTAACATCCTTAAAAATGTATCTTCTTTTCAGACATTAATCCTCAGAGTCTTAATCTGATAGAAAAAGGGACTGCTCTTGATTTTCTGCTGAATGCAACTAATGGGATTACAGGGTCTTATTCTTTTACTGATGCAATTAAAACGTGGAGGCAATTCACAACCTTCACCCACTGAGGCATCTTAATTGAATGCGTGTCTTAAAGAGGTCTTAACACTCTGTTAGCATAGAGGACAATTAACCCGCAATAAATTATGAGGTGTGATGAAAATAAAACACTCAGAGTTTTCATAACGTGATTTATGAGGATTTCCTGGCACGCGTGAGGAGATTTCATGAATAATTTATTACGTTATGTTTAGTTTTGTCTTCTTTTTTAATACAAGAATATATAATCTGTGGAGAGGAGGGGGAGGCAGACTGTCTTGGGTTTTATTTGCCAGCTCTGTGAAGAGATGGGGGGTGTTTTTTTTTGTGTGTGTGGGGGTAACAGAAGCGTACTCCTCCCCTCTCTCTCTCCCTCTCTCTCTTCCCCCTCCTCCTCCTCCTCTTGCTCCCCTGGCCGCTCTCAAACCATTGTTGTTGTGACTGCCGGCCGGAGAGGAACCGTAGTGCTGCAGGAGGGCTGCTGAGAGCAAGACGTGGTCTCATTCTCTCCGTATACTGTAGAGGAGAAACCCTCAGAGAAGGCTGCGCGACACATTTCAGCGGGACAAACTCACAGAGGGGAGGAGAAGTTTCTAAAGCGCTGCGTAAAGACGCACGGGAAGATTCAGTCAAACCGAGACGGGACTCCAAACTCCGAGACACGTTTTTCGAGATGCCTTATTAACCCATCTCTGACCACTTTGGATCTTTTTTTGCAACAGTTCCCACTGCGATAAAGGACTAACTCTTGTCCAAATCAGCGTGTTTGAGCTTCTTTTTCCTCCATGGATTTAACTCTCTGAGCGGCCGGCTCGAGTGGACTTTGCCCAGCGGGATCACGCAGCTCCTTCCGCCGGTCACAGGAGAGAGAGAGAGCCCGGCAGCTGTCGTTCATGTTCCAGGAGACTCTTTTGATGGATTTATAAGCTCTATTTTCCTGCAAGATCGGCGCAATTTCAGACTGCTCTGAAAGGAAGACATCAGAGCTCCAAATGAGGGTTTCAATATTCGCGCGTATCGGCCGGAATAAGGAGTGATTGTCCCCCCCACATCTCTGCGAGGAAAGGTGGGTGAAAACTGACTGAGACAGCTGGAGGCTCTTGAAGAGTTGTTGTTTCATTCATTTTCAGCGGGCATGGTGGAGGATGGGTTAGATTGCGGCAGAAATCTGCTGTAGAAAGCACCAGTTTGTGTCATCTAGTGTTCAAAACCTACAACTGGAGTGAATTTATGCTTCTTGTTTATTTGTTTCCATTGACTAGTTCACAATTGGATTAGAAAGTTCTTGCTACGATTACCCATCTCCACTGAAAGGCCTGCGCACTGATTTATCCAAGATTTGTCTCTGAAATCAGAAATTAAAATTGGTCTCCGTATAAAAAGAAGTTTAAGGGACACTAAACCCTCCGCTAAGACTGTTTGTCAGGAGAGAGAGGTGTGTTTGTGCCTCTCGGAGTGGAGTTTGAACCCAGACAGACCACAGATCACATGTTGTACCATATTTAAGTTGCAATATTTTCTATTTTTCCTCACGCACAATTCGTGGATTGAGATTGTTTTAGTGTAAAAAATCAAATCTAGTGGAAATGGAAGTAAAAGCATATCCAGTGATTTATTTTAAATTATTTGATAAATGGTCTAATGAAGTTTTAGGCTCGTAAAGTAAAAGTTAAGGGACATTTAGCAAACCAAAGTGGCCCTGGAAGTTCAAATGAATCTTTTGTCAACATGTTTGACTTTGATTTTGACAGCTCTGAAGTTCACTTGTTTGGATCAATATTGCACAATACGTTGATTTATAAGTGAGCATTCAACTCATGTGACTAAAACGTGCAGGTCATCACATATTCAGCTACTACACTGAGGTTTTGGAGGTCCGAGTAAAACAGTCAACAAAGTAGAACAGGGGCAGGAGCTGATGGAAGCAGCGTGCAGCGGAATCTGCAGCAGCAGGAGAAGCTTTTTCCAGCCCTTAATTGACAAAGAATACGTTTCATTCAGTAAGCTGGTTCTTTAAACTGTGTGTGTGTGTGTGTGTGTGGGCGCGGCATGCATGCATGGAGCGCACACACCGGGGTCTGGCGCCTGTGCGCAGTTGGCTCCACTCGCAGCAGAAAAATCACAGTGTTATACTTGACGTCTTCTTATCGGCAGTAAAGGTTGATTGTTTGCCTGCAGCACTTTATCAAAACGAAAAGTCTGTTGTTGATTTTGATGCATGGATGTCCTCACAACAATTTGGAGTAAATCAAACATAAGACATCAGAATAACATGGTCTTTGGGATTCAATTGATTCTGACATGACTGACTTAAAAGAGATTGAAATTTGTTTAGTTGCTCATCAACTGTGCTTACACTATACTCTAAAAAAGTGAAATGACCATGTAGTTACAAAATACCAGAGCTTAGTTGAGAGATGAAGACAGCTTGGCCAACCTAATGTTGACAGAAGGAGTGAGCTACAGTATCTCAAAGCAGCTCCCATGGAGGGTTTTTTTGTGAAACTCTTAAACTTGGTAGAGATGCTGTTTCGTGACCTAACAGAGCAAACAGTGACACATTTTTAAAGTCATATATTTCCATTTTTAATGCCTTAAACGACTTCCCAGAGGTTGGTGTTGGACTGGAGCATTTACAGCAAGTTGAAGCGTCAACCAATGTCATTGTCACTCAGTCAGTGAGTGATTTATCTTCCGGTTTAAGGGAAGCAGGATGAGATTTTTACCAGAAAATACCCGACATGTACAAGATAAAATAAGCAAATTGATAACATGAGTATTTTTTGTTCAAGGGAGGCACCAAAATCAACGCTCACTGAAAGTTACCGACAGCATCTTTATGTAGAAGTTTTATGCACTTTGAGGCAAATTACAACTCGAATCACTTCAGACTGCTTAGGTGCATGATTTCCTCTTTGCTCCAACTTCAGACACAAATTTAAGGGTTATACTGTGTTTTAAGGCGTTAAAATCTAAAATGATGATTCTGCTTTTCGCTCCGATTTGAAGGTTTTACTGCCTGTCGTGTTTTCTGCCTCCTGTCCTGAACTTATTCGACTCTGGCTGCAGCTCCTCCAGATTCTGTAGCTTCCTGGCAAGTTTCAAGTGTTTTTCTAGTGAGGGCCCATTATCCCGGGCCAGACTGAGCGCCATCCATTGACAAACAACAGGCGGTAACAGCCCCGCTCCTTATTCATGACGCAGGAGAGCCTGCATAATGTAAGGCAGACGAGTGGGACAGTTTGCAGGACATCTGCTGACGAATACAGCTGCTTGCAGTCAAAACAGGATCTCTGACTGTTTGACTGAGCTGGATTTGTGCTTTCTGACACCTGGTTTTACACTGAACAGAAAACTCCAGTGTCTGAAGCTTCAAGAATCAACTTTCTGATCAACAGTTAACCATCTTTGTTGTGTTTTTTTGTCTGCAGGATCCAGATTTAGACTTTGTGGGTTTCTGGAGTTTCCAATGCCAGGGCCCGGAGTGTGAGGCCAACTCCCGGCTTCAGATTTACAGTTTTATACCTTAAAACAACAACATCTCATCAAGAAGATGGGAGGGATCTGCTCATTCTTCGTTCTCCTGCTGTGTTTGTTGGACAGAGTCTCTGCCAGGGTCATCGAGGAAGGAAGAACTAAAGGTAAGATTATCTGAAACCACCGAACAATGAAGAGAAATCTGCTCTGAAATCACTTCATTCTGACTTTGGTTTCCCTCTAAACCTTCAGGGGGTTTGTGTTATGTAAAACGTAGATGTCTGGCTGGAAGGTTTGCTGGTTTTAACCCACAGACATTCTTCGGAAATCTGATCCGTTAAGGTTACAATCAGTCCACTTTCCCCTTGTTAGAAAGTGTCAGTTTCTTGGCAGCCGTGGAGGAAGTCAAGGTGACAGGAAAAATGACAGAGAGGCTGCAGTCAAGGTTTGGATGGAGGGAGGAAAAAGGAGGGGAGAGGAGAAAAAAAAGCACTCAATGTTTTTGCTGCCGTAAACTGTGCTACCTGATCCATTCGAGGCCCTGAGGCTCGGAAGTGTAAATCTGCCTGGCTGCGTGCCAGCTGTAGAGGATGAAGAGGAGGGGGTGAAGGGGCTTTTTCATTCATGCTTTACAGACAGAAGCCAATACATGAAGTCAGCCGTTGTTTCATTTGAGTCGCATGAAGATATTTAAGCTGAGATGCGGCGTCTTTTGGTGTCAAAACCACAAATTTCCTCTCCGCTAAATGAGCGTTCGATTCCGATCTTCAGGTGGATTTTTCGCGCAGATTGACGAAAGACAAAGTAATGTTTCCCTCAAAGGTATCAAGCGCAGGAGCCGTCTCCTTCCATCCCTGCAGGCTCACTTTGTGCTGCAGGATCTGGCGTGTTTAGACGGCAATGCCCAGAAACCTTTAAAGGTCCATGAGCAAAGAATCAAACCAGGACTGATGACAGAAAGATTGTTAAAAATGCAGGTTACAGCCACAGAGGTGCAGATTTTATCTCTGTGCTTTGTAGTTGCAATTCTTTTTTTTTTTTTTTGACAATTTCTGGACATAAACTGGTTTAACAAAAATATATTAATGCTGAAAGAAAGCTTCTCAGTTTCCCCCTGCAACAAAACAAAACAAAACCACATTTATGAGTCAAAGTCTAATAAAAATCCATCCTAGCCTCCTCAGACTTCCTTCTAACCTCACTGCAGTCTCGTACATTTTATATGCCAGTAAGCTCGGTTGCAGTTTCTCGCCGTTTTGCATATTATAATACACATTTCTGCAGCCAAAGAAAGAGCACAAATTGCAGTATACTTATAAAACTATTTCAATTATTCTCAGTCCTCAGGCGTTTTTCTGTCACGGTTCTAATCTGATCAAAACTCAGAGAAAATAAATCACTGCGTTCTCCAGATATAATTATACATCTACTGTTACCGACCACATGCTGCTAAATGCAGCAAACTGACTTCTTGTATGTTTTTTTCCCTTTCCTCCTCCACCAGGAAAATTATTTTTAGTCCAGTTTTCTGCCACATCATTACAGACCCAACATACGCTCAAGTGCAGCTTTGTTCCAGGGGAGCATTTAGCTGATGTTTATTCCTCTTAAGTATGCAAAAAAAAAAAAGAAGATTTAATATAAAACCTTATAAGTTAGCTCATGTGTGATTGTGAAAGACAGTTTGGACACAGAGTAAAACCACTCGTGTTAATTGTCACGTCACAGAGAGCTTTTTGTAACATAAAGAAGAAGAGAGAGTGCCAGAGAATGCCGTCGTTTTTCTTTGGTCTCCGTTCACAATAAGTGGGTTGGCATATTTTTAGGAGTGCATCTGCTGGTCAGGCCGAACGTTGAGACCAGAGCCGCCTGTGGACACAGTTTGACCTCTGAGCGGCAAACTTTCAAACTAGAGTTTGAACAGATAATGAATGGATGCTTACAAAGTTAGAATCCATTCATTATCATCAAACGCAATTATTTTCAAACACGGACAAAAACTTTGACTTAGTTTCAAAGAAAATCAGTCGCAGCTTCGAACTGTAATGTTTTAAAATCCTGACCCTCGATGTGACAGAAAGTTTTAACTGAAGTCCATCTGGAAGAATTCAACACATGAGAGTTTTTCAGCTTTCATGTGAGTGAAGAAGAATTATTTCAGGGTAAATCTGGATTGAAAGAGATAAATTAGTAGTTTCGATGAGCTCGAAGTCGGTAAATTCTCTAAAACTAATACTGCAATTTCTGAACGATCTACAAAATAGATTTACTTTAATATGTTACACTACCAAAATATATTTTTCATCATTTTCCACAGAGGAAGTTCTTCAAAAGTGACACATTTGGCTGTTCAGTGTGGTAAATTAAGATTATTTTGTTAAAACACACGAACAAGACAAACTTAGCAAGAAGTTAAACGTCTCCGCTTTGTTAACACGCGGCGCCAGAATCAACACCAACCAAAAGTTCCCCACAGGAGCTTTAACACTGATAATGCAAGAAGTTTCAGCTGTAAAGAATATGTAAATGAAACCCGTAAATAACCCTCATGCTGACTTAATTCAAGAGTAACTCTCATAAAAAGTAGTCCTCGTTATTCTTCAAACCCCAGAGAGTTTGGGGTTAGATAAGATAAGCTGTAACCACAGTTCCCCTCTGCTCTGTGTCTCCATGACACTCTCTCAGTTGTACTGTACTTTTTTGGAGGCCTGTGCTTCTCCGTCCTCAGGTCAGGGCATGTTACTGTCCGAGGCCTCCTCATTGTCTGTACTGGTTTCCACTGAGGGCTCCTCTGCCAGCCCGACCAGCCGGCCGGCTGGCTGACTGGCTGTTTGGCTCGAGCAGCCGAGCGGTTTGTTTGTGTTGTGTTGTATTTTGTTTGCCCCCTCGCCTCTGGGTGACAATTCACACTCTGCCGCGAGTTCAACTCTCGGGCACCGTCCCTGTCTCTGCAAGTTCATTAGCGTGGCTTTAACTCAGTGTGTATGTGTGTGTGTGTGTGTGTGTGTGTTTGTTTGTCTCTGTGATTAACTGCTGAAGAGAAGTTCTTCATTTGTCAAATTCAGCCCTTAAGAGGTAAAACTGTAGCCTGAATCGGTCCATATTTTTATTTACTAGTAGCGGGAATGAAGTGATTGAAAGAATTTTGACCAATCACAGCCACCGATTCTTCCACTTACCAGTTGTTGGGCCTTAATTGCCTCTAAAGTGTCACCTCTACATACACTCTGTACGGTTAGATATAAAGGCAGCACTTTACTGGCACAAGAAAACAGATTGCCTTTTCACTAAGCGTTCGCAGGAAGTAATCAAACAGAAAATTGCTCTGGAAAATTGCTCGTTCTGGGCGACTAAGCAGAGAGCGAGTCCAGGGTGCACATATGCTTCTACAAGTGAGTGGGCGAGGGTACGAAGGGGCGAGTGACCCCCTGAATGGACGGCACTGTGGCCGGTGTGACACCATAGTTACAGGGTTATCAGGGCACTCTATCAGCAGCCTCTGGTGGCATTAAATGACAGCAGTTGTTCGGGGAACATTGTGTACCTCTGTGGCAAGACCTTTCAGGGGTAAACTGAGCCCTCGCTGTGTGTTTTGACAATTTTTGTCTTGTGTTCAGAACAAGGAGGTCTGTAGCTTTTCATTTGGACCTTCAAGTCCAAAATCTTTTAAAGGACAAAACGTTTTGGTCTGGGGGTGAATCAAATCATTGTAATCTAAAGGGCACTGAGGGGTGCAATAAGACTGTTAGCATAGTTTCAAGTCAAATGTGAAAATAAACATCAGCAGTTATACTCAGAAAAAGAAAATGGGGCTGTTATATCAAAGATCTTTCTAATCTTTCCTTCCATCTCTTTTCTCCACCAGATCTTCGAGTCTCCAGGCCTCTAATTGCACCAGGATACCCTGAAAACACAACAGTGGTGGTGGGTGGTCAGGCCAAACTGGTGTGTAAAATCCACCGCCCAGCCTCTACTAAAGTGCAATGGTTGAAGACGGAGGCCAGAAGTCAAGGAGGACAACCTCACCTCAAGGCTCTGACGGTGAGAACAGAAGAACTCACGTGTAAAAAATGCGTTTTTTGAAATCTGCCTCAAGTAAGCAAAATGGATTTAACACAATGTTTGCTTCATGCAGGCTCTGCAGAGCAACGCCTCCAAGATGAACACTCTGCACCTTTCCAACATCACTCTGGAGGATGCAGGAGAGTACATCTGCATGGCTGAGGGCGTGCACAGCGGACAGATGGTGCAGGCCATGCACTCGGCATGGCTGGAGGTCCTGCCTGGTAAGATTTTTGGCAAATCTTGATCTCTAAAATATTCCCCACAACCCCACGATTTTCTAATGTGAACTTTTGGCTTCCTCAGGTACTATCATATCCAAGACTGTGGACATGGCTGCTGCAGAAATCCCCCCAGGTACACCGACTTCATGTTCAAGATGCTAAGTAGCTTCCCTGCGTTTGACATACCAGGAGGTTTAGGTAGCACAGCAGTTAAAAAGGCTCAGCGGTCTCTTTTGGGTAGTAGTATGGTGACCATCTGTGTAAGCTTCGTCGCATGCCCTCTCCTCCCAACGCTCACTTAGATCTCCAGCGAACCTTCACCGCCCCTCAGATTTACCCTCCGTCCACTGTCACGCTCCTACATGTTCATTAGCTCTAGTCTCTCCTCCTCAGTGTTCCTTTTCTTCTCTTTTTTTGGATGGTGCAAGAGTTAGGAGGAGCAGGGAAGGAGGGGAGAGTGTGTAGAGGGGGGGTGGGATCTGCTGGGTCTCGTGGTCTCCATGGTAATTTCATTGTGTGTGCACAGGGGTGGAGGGGTTGCAGATAAAGAAAGCTGAGGAGCTAAAGGTCATAGTTTAGGGGATGGCGACTTGCCACTCAAAACCTGCTGACTGAAGGAGGGAGTGTTTAAAGGGCAAAATAAAGACGTGACAAAAATTAAACATCTGTGGACGAGGTCTGAAGTGAACGTCTTCAATAGCAACATGCTAACACCCTGTTTGCTGTTGTACTTTGGCTTTAGCAGATGTCCTCGAGGATCTGAGTGAGGACACCACAGAGCATCTCCTGTTAGAGCCGGGAAATGTGCTGAAACTTCGCTGTGACATAAGTACCCGGCCCGGCATGGCGGTGAACTGGTACAAGGAAGGAGGGCGGATTGTGCCCACGCCAAGAATCCAGATCCGTGGTGCCATCATGGAGATCACAGATGTCACGTATGAGGATTCAGGTGTTTATGTTTGTGTTCTCCGGGGATCCAAAGAGCCAGTGAGGAACTTCACCATCACTGTAGCAGGTGAGAAAACGTTCTGTTAGGTGAAAAAAGTCTTTTTCAACACAAATGACCACAAAGCCAGTCATCTCTCGGTGTGTCTTTTTTGGATACTGAGAAGGAGAATTTGCTGATTCAGTCTTTATCCCTCACCTTTGCAGACCTGATGGGGTCAGGAGATGACGATGAGGACAATGGCTTGGAGGACTCGTCAGCAGAGATCGAAAACGACCAGGTCTACTTCTCCAGAGGTGTGTAATAGTTTCCTAGCTCACTGCAAACCAAACACTGCATCAGTACGTTCTGACTCAAGACTCATTCACTCTTCCTTGTCCAAAAAGGTCCTTATTGGACACACACCCAGCGTATGGAGAAGAAGCTGTACGCCGTCCCTGCCGGTAACACCGTAAAGTTTCGCTGCCCGGCCATGGGAAGCCCCATGCCAAGCATCCGCTGGCTTAAAAACGGACGGGAGTTCAGAGGCGAGCATCGCATCGGGGGCATCAAGGTGAGTGTTGAAGCGGTTTTTACCAATGAACTCATACTGGGAAGGTTTTGACCATGCTAATAATACTTTCTGTCTTCTCGTTTAGCTGAGACATCAGCACTGGAGCCTTGTGATGGAGAGCGTCGTCCCTTCAGACCGAGGAAACTACACCTGTGTGGTGGAGAACAAATATGGCTCCATTACTCACAGCTACGTCCTGGATGTTCTGGGTAAGTTTTCGGTCAGTTTTCTTTTTCTGTGTTTCTTCTCTGGAGTCAAAGAAAGGGTTAAAACCATGAGTGAATTTCAGCCAAACTTGCAGACGAATTAGGGTTAGGATCAGGGTTAGGGTTAATGGTCTTAAAACCATTATTTCAGTGGTTTGAGATCTAACTGCCATCAGTCATCATTTGTTGCTCTGGGATGAGTGGGGGGAAAGTTTAGGGGGTGAGCAGGGTGGCAGCGGTGCCTGGCATCAGCCGTTTCAAGCAGAATGTGGACGGTCGGGCGTCCACACCAGTTTTCTACCTGACCTGTGACAGGAGATTAAGGAAGACTGCGGTTTGTTTGTTCATTTGTCTGCTTTCTGTCCACCACGGGGTCAGTTTCTGTCCCCATTGTTGGGGGGAGAAGACTAACGAGACAGTTAACGAGATCAGAGAGGGAGAGTGAGCTCAGATCAAAGAGAGCCGGGCGCAGCTGACAAAGAAACACAATTAAAGAGGAGATATTTATCCACAAATAAAATGCTTTTTAGCTGCAAAACAAACATATTATAAGAGACGGGAATAACTGCAGGGTATTTCTGGAAGTATTTCTGTAGATAAAAAAAAAGCAAAATAGTTTGATAGTTTTAACTGTACTTTGACTTCACCATGTTTGTCCCTCTGCAAGAGCACCTAATGAGACTCTTTGCTTCGAGGATCTTCTAAAATCTCCTTCTCCGTGTACCTGGATCTACTTTGAACTTTTGCCCTGAGAAACGGAAAACCCCCAAAGCTCTGACTGGTGTTTCAAAGCTTGGTGCTGACTTTTTATTTTTATCAATCTGCTCACAAGTGGTCCATTTCTTCCCCTTTCAGAGCGCTCCCCACACAGGCCCATCCTGCAGGCTGGTCTTCCTGCCAACACCACAGCAGTGGTGGGCAGTGATGTCCAGTTCCACTGTAAGGTCTACAGCGATGCCCAGCCTCATATTCAGTGGCTCAAACACATAGAGAGGAACGGCAGCCGCTACGGTCACGACGGGACGCCCTACGTTCAAGTCCTCAAGGTTGGTATTATATCACTGGTGGCCAAGAGCTAAACCACCATCAGAAAAACTTTAAAAAACTAAGTTTAGTTTGCGATTCATCTGCTCCCAGTCAAGAAATAAAAATGGTTAATCTTGCTGAATTTTCGTAAACGACAAAGAAAAAAATTCTCCTCACAGGGACTTTGATCTGACTTTTCCTTCATTTGTGTTTCGTAGACTGGAAGTCTGAACATGTCAGATGTGGAGGTGCTCTACCTGTCCAAAGTGACCATGGAGGATGCTGGAGAGTACACCTGTCTGGCTGGAAATTCAATTGGATTTGCCCACCAGTCTGCTTGGCTCACTGTTATCTCAGGTAACTTGGATTGAACTTCTAATACACCGACATAAATGATCACATCGTCTGCATATTCAGATATTGTCACATAATACACAAAGCGCCGACATCGTATATCATGACATCTGCAAACCAATTGAAGTTTTTTCTGAACATCTTTCCCCCTCTTTGTGTAGAAGAAGAAGCAGCCGACGCCATGGACACCATGGAGACCAAGTACACCGACATCATCATCTACGCCTGTGGTTTCTTGGCTCTCGTCATGGCCATCATCATTGTGGTGTTGTGTCGAATGCAGGTCCACCCAAGAAGGGAGCCGTTTGACGCCCTACCTGTGCAGAAGCTCTCCAAGTTTCCTCTCCGCAGACAGGTACAGGGCACCGGGTATCATGGGAACTTGAGTGTTTTGATCAAACAGATAGTGGACTACAACCTTAAAAGTTGACTGAAAATTGTATTCGACAGCTTGTAACAAACATTTCTTTTCTTTCAGTACTCTGTGGAGTCCAATTCATCTGGAAAGTCAAGTGCGTCTCTGATGAGGGTGGCCCGTCTCTCCTCCAGCTGTTCACCTATGTTGGCAGGAGTCATGGAGATTGAGCTCCCTTATGACCCAGATTGGGAGTTTCCAAGAGAGAAGTAAGTTTTTTCCTGCTTGATTGACCTCTATTGTCATCTTCGTTGGTAGCCTCATATTTTAAAAATAACTTTGATCCCTGCCCCTTTCAAAGAGAGTATTTCTCCACTAAGTTTAGTTTGGCCGCTGAGATCTAGACTCATTTAGACATTTTAGCTCTCCCATCATGTCGAGACCTAAAAGGAAACAAGCCCACAGCCCAATTTAGGCTCAGCCCAACCTGTGTTTTGAGAAACCAGAGCCCCAAATTATGGATTTCTACAGTTTTCATATGGACATACTTATTTTTACTATCTGTCTCTGTTCCTCTCTCTAGTTTAACGTTGGGTAAACCTCTAGGAGAAGGCTGCTTTGGTCAGGTGGTCAGAGCTGAGGCTTATGGCATCAACAAGGACTCTCCAGATCAGCCAACCACAGTGGCGGTTAAGATGCTCAAAGGTAGGATAAAAAAATCATACCTCGAGCGTTCAGTGAGCGTCTTTTGTTTATACTAAAGGTCAGTCTTTCTAAATAAAATCTTTTTCCCAAAAGATGACGCCACAGACAAGGATTTGGCTGACTTAATCTCCGAGATGGAGCTGATGAAAGTGATGGACAAACACAAGAACATTATCAACCTGCTTGGAGTCTGCACACAAGATGGTGAGTCTCCAAACTATGGCTCAACTTTCCTGTCTCTTACTTGTCTCAACAGCTCTATATATGATGTCTTTGAGTGAAGGTTTGAGGTTTTTTTTTTAGGTATTAGAGTCAATAATTAGATGACTGATTAGAGGACTTCTTCCTCCTTGTAAATGTTAATTATGACACACACCCTTTATTTGGAGGGAAAACAATACCCTTCCTCAAATAACCTTTTGGAGACCCCTTTTATCGTAAACTCAACAAACCATCCTAATTTACTGTTTCAGCTCTGGTGGTCCTAAGCCTTCGAGCTAAAACAACAATATAAACAACCCCAACCATTCATCCTGTTTGTGTTCCCCCCCAAGGCCCTCTGTATGTACTGGTGGAGTACGCCTCCAAAGGCAGTCTGAGGGAGTACCTGCGAGCCCGGAGACCCCCAGGCATGGACTACACCTTTGATGTGACGAAGGTGCCTGAAGAGCAGCTCACCTTCAAAGACCTGCTGTCCTGTGCCTACCAGGTCGCCAGAGGGATGGAGTACCTGGCCTCTAAAAGGGTACGTTCACTTAAAAGGAAGGAAATTACATTATGTTGAATAAGCAGACCACTTTGCTGATTATCTACCAGTTGTAAATGGTTTCTTAGAGACCTTTATAGTATTGGACTGTCATCGAACATGTTGGGAAACAGTCTTGAAATGATTATTCGCCTTTTGGTCATCTGAAAACAATCTGAAACCTCATTATTCCTGCTTTTGTTCAGGATAAACTGGCAATTAGTGCTTTGAATCAAACAAAATAAGAAATGTCAAGACTTCAGACTGGGTTCTGGAAACTTCTGTGTTTTTCCTCGTAGACTAAATAATTAACCAGCTGAAGAGTGACTGTATTTGTTGCCAGCACAGTTTTCTGGTAATTGACTTCTACTGTTATACTAAGCCAAAGCTTATAATGAATTACACAGAAACTATCTGTTTGGTTTGCTTTATTTTAACCAACAGGCATGTCCCATATTAATTCAGTTTAACTCACAATACATTAAAATGGATGTTTGGTGTGAGTCAGATGGTGGGTTTATGGTTTCGGGTGCTCTTGGTAGGCTTCAGAAAACAGTCTTATCCATGTTTGGATGTTTCGGTATTAGACCTCATATCGTTGTCCAAATGCCAGTGCAGGAATTACAGCCACACAATTGTTGCATGATGGTAAAACACTGAGTGTTAATAAACTTCAGGTGTGTGAGCCTCAGTGTTTTGGTTTAAAGGATAATGAGCTCTTGATTTTAGAGCTTGGCCTTCACATTGGGGAGTTTGAGAGGGGTCATCACAGCAGCACTCCCTCCTCTCCTACCATCCTCCATGCCTCTGTTTGTCCTTTTACCTCCTCTTCTTCCCACCCCCACCCCCCATGTTTCTGTTCCTTTCATTTTCCCAGCATGCTCTCTGTCTGTGTGCTTCTTATCAACACTTCTCTTTGTCTGCCAGCCGGTGTCTCAGACAGGCATTCCTTAGCGCGGCGCTGCTGCAGCTTCAGTCCTATTTACTCTTCTCCATCCATCCATCTGTCCGTCCCCTCCGTCGCAGGGCTTTGTCCTTTTTAACGGTGCCATAAATCTGTTAGCAAACAGGCAGCAGAACTGTTGTCTGGGTGTAGGCATCGGGTTTCTGGCCCGACAGCCTCCTAAGAATGCAGGAGTCTGAAGCTAACCCTCCATTATGGGGAGACCCACAAACCAAGACTGGTTCATTTTGCACGTCCCCACAAATCCCACGTCTATTTCGAATGAAAACCAAAATGAACTTAATGACATCCATTCAATGTGGGCAAACAGAGCCTTTCTTTTTCCCTCCCAAAGGGCTGTTTTTTCTTCCGTCTCCCGGCTCTCTATATAAAGACGTTTTAATTTTGTTGCGTTCACTAAAATGAGGCTCCCTGTGTTGACTTTAGACTCCTGAGTCTTCTCATTTTTGGAGAAAATCTGCCATGAATCATTTCTACCTCCCCTGCCTCTGTATTTACGTGACCTCGCCAGACTGCGGCCTGGAACAGACAAGACCATGTTGTGTAAAGAGTGAAAGCACTTTTCATGAATGTAAAACCTTTGATAGTAGAGTCGAGTTTCACTTTTTATTTGTGCAGAACTATGAATCATACTTTTTATGGGGGATATTACAGGAATTAAAGAGGGGAAACTCACCCCAAAACACTGAAATCCGACCACTTTTCAAGCACACTGAGCTCTTTAACCAGAAACTTCTAAACATTAGACTAATGATCGCACCTGGAGACGCAGCATTTGGAGGTAAACTAACTTCAGGGTTTAATTCTCCATCCTTCTTCTCTGCAGTGCATCCACAGAGATCTCGCAGCCAGAAACGTTCTGGTGACAGACGACAACGTGATGAAGATCGCTGACTTTGGCCTGGCCAGAGGAGTCCACCAGATCGACTACTACAAGAAAACCACCAACGTGAGTGACACTTTGTGGTGGCATGTTTTTCAGGAATCTCTTTATGAGGATATAACTTTGTTGTCTAGTCATTTACAAGTGCTCACTTGAAATTTTCACTGTTGAGAAGGTAAAAAGCTTGTAAATATTTGTGAATGTGCTCGAGTAGCTACATAACATTCGACCTCTGACCCTTTTATTGACTCAAAAGTCTCCCTTCAACGATCAATAAGGCATCAGTTTCGTTTTATCCAATCAAAGCTGTCATATATCTTCATGTTCAGATGTGCCGGCCTGGTTGCTTTCACCGCTTTAATACCTTGAAGACAGATGTCTGCTGTTTTCCTCTGAGTGGCAGCAGCCTTAATGGGACTTAATTAGAAAAGAGTGGAAGGAGGGAGAAATGTGAACAGAGAGACAGAGAGTTAAAATCAGAAAAAACAGGGACTGGAGGGAAAATGAGCTGAGGTGGAAAGTGAGCTGCTGCGGTTAATGAAGGTGGGGCTCTAATGTGTTCGTGTTCGCTCTGCAGGGTCGGCTGCCGGTGAAATGGATGGCACCAGAGGCTTTGTTTGACAGAGTCTACACACACCAGAGTGACGTGTAAGTCTGACTTCAACATTAACAATCACAGAGGACTCTCTGGACGAGATGTACAGGCAGAAAACAATTCTTTCTCTTGACTAAATATCTCATTTTTGTTTGGGCTCAGGTGGTCGTTTGGGGTTCTGATGTGGGAGATTTTCACACTGGGTGGCTCACCATACCCTGGTATCCCTGTGGAGGAGCTCTTCAAGCTGCTGAAGGAAGGACACCGCATGGACAAACCCTCCAACTGCACACATGAACTGTAAGCAGGAAGCTGGATTCAAAATTATCCCAAAACAGTCAATAAAAAGCAGCTTTTGTGGCTGAAAATACTCTGAACTCTCTGAATAATTGTTGCATCTGTTGTGTTTTTTTAGCTACATGATGATGCGTGAGTGCTGGCATGCCGTGCCCACCCAGAGACCCACTTTCAAACAGCTGGTGGAGGAGCTGGACCGAGTGCTGCTGTCCATCTCTGATGAAGTAAGTTTCAAACACACACAGACACACACATATATGTGCATTCATAGGGATCTACCCACATGTGCACTTCCTTTTATTTCAAAGTCTGTCGTCCAGATGTCTCCTGCATGTGCAGGATAGTGAGTGTGTAAAGAGTAGGGCTGAAAAACTTCACAACAAACAAAATAAGTCAAACTGTGTCTGACTGCAGGGTTCAAACTCTTGAAATTTCTCAGTTTTCTCTCAGATATATTTCAGTCATTATTTCGAGGCTCTAACGTGACCTTTTCAAACCATTGTTCTCTGTAATTGCAGTGGTCTAAAACTAAAGTGGCATGTTTTCTCCACATCTGGACGCCATTAAAAAGAAAAACATGTTGAAAAGGAGTTTGAAAGAACGCCCAAAACAATTTCTGTTTACAGCCAATTTAGCGAATATTTCACATTCGGTTCTTTTTTTTAATGTTTCATTTCTCTCATTTCTTCACTTCTCTTTCCTTCTCCAAGTACCTGGACCTGTCCACGCCCTTCGAGCAGTACTCCCCATCATGTGAGGACACGTCAAGCTCCTGCTCTTCTGACAACGACTCTGTTTTTACCCATGATGCCTTGTCCACCGCCCCCTGCCTCATAGGCTACCAGGACGTACGCTCCAGGATAGATATGAAGGCGGCGCTGCGATAGACTTACGACTGAAGGCACACTCACATAAACTCACCAACACAATAAAAACACAAACACTTCTGTGGGCTCATCGAAACACACCCAACGGCGGCCATCTTTGAAGCCAGTAGCTGCAAAAGTTGGTCACAGTTTTGGTTTTTAGGAGATCCCTTTGAGTTTGTGAAACATCACGCAAAAACAGAGAACGTACGCACGAGGAGCACTGAGGCCGCCGGGCTTCACCACACAGTGGAGGTTCGACAAAACGCAGAAGAAAAGAGGACAAACAAACGAACGTTGGTACTTTGTACTATCAGCTCTGGCACTGTGCCCACGAACAGCTGGAAAAACTGCGGCACTAAACACAACTGAAGAAACCCTGGTACTCAAACGCCTCACAAGCTTTCTACGATCTACTCTCCTCCAGAGAGAGGGGGACGGACTATGAGCTCAGCCTTAAACCGGGGCGTGAAACCTCACTGGTAAAGACATTTTATCAAGAAAAAAAAGATTTATTTTGCTATGATAAAAAGAAGAAACTGATTGTTAAATATAAATCCCTCTATATAAGATTATTTTACTTTTGTGATGCTTATTTAAAAAAAAAAAACGGTCTTCAATCTCAGGATCTCTTGTGCTAAGAAGTTGCTGTAGCTGCAGCGAAGTGCCTGAATTTTCGATTTCCTGTGAATATATTTTAGAATATCTAAATATTGTATGTACATATCAACGACATAGGACGATTGCCTTTTATAAATTATTCTGAATGACACAAAATGAAGGTTATCGCAGGCGAGGGAGAGAAGAATGGAAAGAAGAAAAAGCACATATTTTGGGTTATGGATGAACTATAGAGGAAAACAGCAATTTTATTTTCCATGTTGACGCAAACCTGAAAATGATGTGGTCAAATATGAAATGGGCTTCACCTTTTCACTTCTAAATGTTGGAATGAAACTTCCTATTTGCCATTTTTTAAGTGAATTGCCTCCTTCTCCAGCTTAAGAAAACAATTTGTGGTCAAATACCAGAAGAAGTTGAGTTCTTGTTGCCAAAACCTTCCAGATCCTACATTTTCAATCAAGCCTGCAGGGTCCTGAAGGTCATCAGACGGACTTATTTACATGAACAAACAACCTTGTAAACTCTGACATGGTCTTTCTAGAACAACAGCTCAGTCAGAGACAGAGTGTCCAGGGTGGGACTCGGACTGAAAGGGGTGCCTGATGATTCCAGCAGCATGGGGACTCAAGCCCACTGTCACTGCTGACAAGGAGAGGAGCCCAGGGAAGAGGAGGAGGAGGAGGGGGCACTGAATGTGAAAGCCAGTGTGATTGATTTCAAATAGAGGAGAAGGGGGAGGGTCCCTCCTTTGTCTGGCTCTCACCCCTTCACCCAGCCCAATCTGTTGGCGAGGGGTCCTCAGGTCCGCAGCCTGGCCGGACAATGAAGGCTTTGCAGGCTTAATGGGTGTGACTGTGGACCAGGGGGAGTTTTTTGGGGGGTGGGTGTTGTTGTGGGGATAGCTTGGGCTTGTGTGCAAATGAAGAGGCTCTTATTATGGTAATGTCACCTCTTCTTTTCCCAGCCCTTATCTTTATCCCCACAGACGCCATCTTTTAAATCACAAACCTTAATTCTAATTCGGCCACTGCCACCAGGACCAGCTGCAGAGAAGTCCCCTGTGGGCCGAGATGCCAACTGAGTCCCAGTGGACGCCCTGAATCTGACCACAGATAGAGCATTTAACACAAACTCAATGTGTGTGTTTGATCCGATATCTCCTCCTTGGTCTTGGCCGTCAAAAATCAGTCCAATTTGGAAATTTCTCAAAGTAAAAATGTATTAAAAATGCCTTAAATTCCAGTTAACTTCATTCTTCTTGATTTAAAATGTCATATTTTGGTTAAAACATGTATAAGATGCTGTATATCGACATCCTCATTGGTCCTGTTTCCTTTTCAAGTGTTCAAAAGTTCAACAAAATGTCTGTTTTCCCTTAAAATGCCTTAAAAGCCTCATCCATTCATCTCCCTTTGTGTAAAACCAGACATGCGTTTCATTAATGAAGGATTCATTTGTCTTTTCACCTCATTTCCGGGTATTTTAACGCTGTCAGTCATCGTGCGACAGCTGGTATCACTGATGAATATCTCATTTTGGAAGAAGCTCTTACATTTACATACAAGCTGTGTCCAGATACATTTACAACTTTACATTCCAGCTCCTTCTCCAGGTACAAAACTGTATTACCGTGTTCTTAAACATTTCCTCAAGAGAATTATTTTAGAAATATCTAATTTATTTGTTTATTGTTTTGTTTTTATATGAAATAAACTATAATTTAAAAATAAAGCCGCTCTGTGTCCTTGTCTGACTGAACGTACGAAACACTGATTCAGTTTGTGAGGTTTGACAGACAGACAGCAGACTGGAGATGGAAACCAGTTACATCCTGAATCTGAGCAGGTTGTTATTTTTATGAGCCGAGAGTTGTGAAAAGGTGTTTATGTTTGAGACTTGGCAGATCTCACTGCTGTCTCCTCTGTTTACAGTCTCTGTCCTTGGCAGGCTGGAGAGGTAAGTGGCTGACAGCGAGGCTCATCAACGTTTTGTTGGGTCACCTGAGCGTCAAGGTCAAAAAACCTGGATCATTCTCCCTGCTCTGACCCATCTTCAGCTGGCCTTTATTTATAATGCCCTTTAATTTTATTATATTTAATATATCTATACTTGGATCATTTTCACAACTCATCATTGAAATGACTGCTGCAACTAATTTCATTTAAATTTCTCTGTTTCTGACAGGCGGGGAGCTCACTGCAGGATTTTGGGACCTGATTTTGGTAGATTATGTAAAATATTCCTGACAGAGCTTTCTTGAATTTCCACTCTATCTTGGTGGAGGGATTTGTGTGTCCAAATGATCTAAAGAGATCAGTTGTTGACAGATTTATGCCCCTGGGAGGGTGGTCCAAGGCAAGCAGGTCCAGAGGGAGGAACCAGACAAAAAACCTTTATTATGATAGATAAAAAACCAAGAACTCGGTTTTTCTTGCCTGAACATGGGGACTGAGGATCTTCCCAGAGCCTGGCCTGTGTTGGGGAAAAGAGCCTGAGCTAGAGCGCAAGGTAGAGAGATATATTTGGGCTCACCTTGATGTTATGTGTGGACTCCAGAACCAGTCTTCTCGAGAGGAGTTGAAGCTTTAACTCCAACCTCTAGGAGATCTTCAACAGTCAGAACGTTTACATGACACTCGAGAAAACCGAATTATCGCCTTACTCCAATTAAGACCGGACAACTAGAGTGCATGTAAACACCTTTGACTGACTATAACTGGAGTTTGGGAACACCGATTAAGACGCCCAGATAATGCGGTTGGAATTCGATTTTCTCTACCATGTAACCAGCGTAGTCGAAGTATGATCGGACAGTGCATGTCCTATTGGGCTTTATTGGGGCAGCGGCTTTGCTGGTCGCTGTGGAAGGAGTTTGGTGAGTCCACAGAGAATGACTTCTAGATGGCTTCAACATCACTTCATATTGTATCACATCTGTTTGTATCATACCCCATCATTCGTATTGTATCATATGTCCCTGTAGAGACTGCTCTCCTTCAACAAAAAGGCCGCTGGGGTTTAGGTTCGCTTGCGTCAGCAACTCGTTCAATCATCAGTCCGGTTTGAGTGTTAAAAGTGGCTTATTGTTCCAAAAGAGAAGAGAAAACACACTGATCCAGGTCCAAAACTTTTGCCTTCGAATGAAAAAGTGAAATGATGAAATGAGGTTGAGACAAGATGAGTGAAATGGTCAACAGAAAATTACTAAAGCGTTCCAAAAACCCATTGTCTGACTACCACACACCTCAGTGTCAATCCCCAGAAGTGACGTACCTAATAATCATACCCTCAACAAATATATTTTGGCTCTTACAGTCCCTGTGTCATACATTACTGCACAGTATCTTGCAGCATTTTCAAGTATCGTCATGAGGTCGGGAAGATAAATGTTCTTTTTAATGACAAAAACTATTAAATCTGAGTCGTCCTTAAATGTGTGAGTGAATGTCTCTGTGCAGCTTTGGTAAAAAAAAAAAAAAAGTATGAGATTATTTTCAAGGTCCGTAGCTTTAGAAAAGGTTAAAAACAGCATGGAAACTGGTATCAAACTCAGATGTGAGACGGACAAATGTGAGAAAGATGAAAGACAGAGACGGGCTCAAAGAAGAGAGACGGCGAGACGGAAGAATGAAGAGATGGAGGTCGAAGGTCAAGAGGAGGGTGGAGAGGGCAGCAGTGATCTCAGCCAGCTCAGCCTTTTGAAGTGTGCGAGTGTGATCCTCCTCTGTGTGTCTGCGCGCATGATTCTGTGCGAGTGTTTGTGTGTTATCTGCTGTTGACATGGTGTGTGTGGTCTGAACATGTATGAGTACGCCTGTATGTTTGTGTCTTATCTCCCATGTACAATAAATCTCGATCGCCCACAGAGCCTCTCTCCCTCCCTCTCTTTTGAGCCCCCCTCCTGCTTGAGATGATAAACGTCTCAGTCTGGGGTCTGTGTCCGGAGGTTTGTGTATGTGAAGATGGAGCAAATAGCGCTTATTTTGGGGGTGCAGATTGAATGCAGGAAAAAAGTCTTCATCCACACTCCGGTCTTTTCATATGTGTTTCTTAATTTCTGAAACTCTAATGGGTCCTACTCCACCCTGTGTCTCTCCTTTTCAGAGACATTTCTCTCTGTACTGTGATGAAAATTCTCCTCATATCACATAAAGTGCATCATATAAAAAGAGTCTAAAAGTCCGAATGTGGTCAGAATCCAGATTATATTCCCACTTTTCATGGGACCTTGAGATGAGAGCAGTTTGACCCCACTTCCTCAAACACCAGCGAGACGGTTCCTGCGAGAGGACGTGTTCCAGAGACATTTTCAGTGAATTCCTGTCTGTGTTTGTTAAATCAACAGCGGTTATCATCGCTTTCTGAATTTCAATAATCAAAGGATCATATTTGTTTTGAAGTCTCTAAAAGCAGCAGCTTTGATCCTTAAAAGGCAGGAAAAGTGTCCGTCTGAGGCAAAACAGTCTCGTCTTCCTCTGCTCACCCTCCATATAAGATCATACAAATTCCAAAAGTGATGGACTCTCATCCGCAGCAGCCTAAATATTTAAGGTTTGCTGTGCCAGAGAATGGTATCATACCACACCAAAGAGAAGTTAAAAGAAAGAAAAACAGAAGAGACGAACTTGCTTCACTCGCATCAACAACTATTTGGAGTCTGGTCACTTAAATTATTCTATAAAATCCTAAAGTCCAGGCTAGGACTGTAGCAATATACCAGAATTGAAAACAGCTTTATTTTAAGGTGATTAAATATAGGTCTCATGCTAAAAGTAAGTATACAATGATTCTCTGAGTGTATCGTAGGAGATGGACAAAGAAGAAGCAGCAGACTGCTAACTCACAAGCTTTAGCAGCCGTCTGAGAAGAAGAGATGATTTTAAACCTGACATTCAAGATGAATTATGAATCCACAAACATTTATACTCCCTAACTGTTCTTTCTTCGGTTTTCATTCAGGTCTGTAATTTATAATCGACCAGCTAACAGGGAAGTAAATAACTGAAATACAAGATGGCAAAAATACCAAAATAAAAGCTCGACAAACAATCACTTAAGAAGAGTACATTTGTTATAAGAAGTAACTGCAATTATTATCAATTACAGTAATTAGTAATAAGTATGAAGTAATTTGTTGCCATTGTCTTGTCCACCATTGTCTTGCTTTTTCTCAATTTGACTAATTTTGTTGTTTTATTAGAGTCTGGCACGTTTCTCCTCGGCCTGTGTTGTGGCAAAAATGTTAGTTTCATACTCTAAACTATTATGTCAAACAACACAAAGGAGGATTTGTAATCTTAGAAACTGTCCTGCAATCCAGGTAATGGTAGCAGAGATGGTGAGTACATCTGTGAGCTGCAGACTGTTATGAAGTAAATTAAATCATCGGCAGTAGAGAAAATATATAAATTACATATCAATATATTGTGATATAGTTGTTAAACAAATTAGATTGCCGTGTTCCTGTGGTGGGACCATAGACTGTATATAGAATGGACGCCGTCTGCCTCCTCGCTGGGTGAAGCCACCATGAGAACAGCACCCTCTGGTGACCGGCTGCAGTATAGGTCATAAATCCCGCCTCCTCCAGCAATCCCTATGGAGCTGTGGACAAACTTTAGAAATGTATTACACAGTATAAACATTTTTCTCCCCCCTAGTTACTGTAAGACTGGCTTGTTTTCAAGTCCTCTTTTTTTCTGTACAGCTCCGTTTTAAAAGTTATTAGGGGGTTCATGTTTTCTATGATTGACACTTAATACAGCCTATGGGCGTACAACTCTCGCGCAGAATGTGTACAACACTACTGCGCAACCGGTGGTGGAGCCAAGTTGTCCATATTAATTACAGTCTATGGTTAGGATCATAATTTACAGATCCACTTGCATTATCTCTGATGTACAAAATTGGATGCAGCGAATAGTTTCAAACTATGGCTAAGAGTCTGCAAAATACTACTGCATGTATTCGAATCGTGGTCTCTATTAGAAGTACTTTTATTATCATTCGTGGTGTTGTCTGTAGCCTCAGTAGTGAGTTGAAGAGTTTAGCAGAACTGTTTATGATCCATGCCGATGCCCCAGTGTCTCCTAAAGAATCGGTATTTATGTGGCACATAACTGGGACAGTTTTACTGGACGTTTTGTCATTTAAACATCTAATCAGCTGGTAAACAGAACAGGAGATGGACTGCAGACATGGAGCAACTTCTGTTTATCGCTGATTAAAGTTTAACTGCTCTGCAACAGCACACTGAACCCTGGACCAACAGTATACAACTACAGCAACCCCGTACTCTCTCTCTCTCTCTCTCTGTCTCTCTGCGTGTGTGTATTCATGTGTGTGTGAAGGCTCCAGTGCAATGTTTGTTGCTCTACTTTATCTATTGACCTGCGGAAGTATTTGTGATTGTGTCTGCACACACAGAGTGTGATAAGGCAGGAAGAGAGTGTGGACACAGGATGTTGAGTTAACACTGAGACAACATGAGAGCAGCTTATCACATAGAGGAGCCGCCGTATTACAACAGGCAGCCACGTGGATCCATAACGCTGTCTGCTGACACAGCCCGCTGCAAAGAAGGAAACAGTCTTATTATAAAGCTCTTTTTGTCGTAAAAAAACACACAGTTAAAAATACGCTGGTATGAGCGCTTAAGATGAAAAAACGTGCAGCAGTGAGGGTCAAAACATCTGTTTTTCTCGCTCTGACAGCTGTAATGTGCAGATAGAGAGGTTACCAAATTCAAATATAGTTCAGTCTGTGATGTTAACAGAGAAGAGAGAAGACGTGACATGTTCAACACTTCAGAAACTCAAATATTGCTGAACTTCTTACTGTTATGAAACAAGTTCGAGGGTGCCAGTTGTTTCACAAGCGTGTCTCCATGTTTGGATCACTGTTTGACTTTTCCTGTCAACCAAATATCTGCTCTGCATAAGCTGAAGTCTGTCATGGCCTGTTACTTATGAATATCAATTTACCACGTCTAAAGTGCAAGAAAGTGCAAGTGCATCTTGTAAAATCCATCTACTCCGACTCTGTAGGAGTCAGAGTACCTCAGAATTCAGCAGGTAGACGCTGTGAAGGTGTGACTCCAGTATAAGAATCAAAGAGGCAGAGCTTCTTCTTATTATTATTAACTGAGATCAATAAAGATGCCGTGTTGTTTGCAAGTTCTCCCTGACAACAATTGCAATAAAATGTCACTTCATTGAAAAATCGCTTTGTCTTTCACTGCATCAATTTACCAGATTGTGACTTTGTTTTAGGTGTTTTCTAATATCAGGAACAGGATTGTAATGTTTGCTGATTGTTTGTTTTGCCGATTCCCTGCAGTTTACGGCAGAACAGCTCCTTGTCATTTTCTTTCTCCGTTGACTCTGTTAGTAAACAAATAAGAAATGTCCCGCTTTACCTGCGATGACGTTGCACAGAAACCCGTCTATAGTGCTTTACTCAAAGAGGAATGAGGGAGAAATATCTACAGCTGACATTTCACCACCGTAATAACATCAACAGAAGCTTAAACTTCTCAATAGTTGGCGAGGTAAGCCCGGATAAGTCTGTTCAAAGGGCTCTTTATGTCCTGATATGTTCTGTTAATTTAGTTTTTTCCTGGTTTTGTTATTTAAGTGTATTTTCTCTTTTTTTCTTCTAGTGTTTCTGTTCTCTAATGTTGCTGTGAATCAGTCTTGTGAGTTTTCAGTTGGTGTTTTGACCCTGTTTTCCCTCAGTGTTCTTCTTTAGATCAGTTCTCAGTGTTTCCTGTTTTATTTTGTAGGAGTTGATTCCTTGTGTTTCTAGTCTGGTTTTACTTCCCTAGTTTTCCCTCCTTCGTTAATCACCCATGAGTTTCACCTGTGTCTCGTTAGCCTCACCTGTTGCTTGTCTCCCAGTGTGTATATAGTCCCGTCTTCCTTTGTCCTTGTTGGTTCATTGTATGTTTGTCAGTGTGTGCGCGCTTATGTCTTTTTTCCCCACTTACTCCTGGTGATTTTGCCTTTTGAAATTTTCTCTTTTTGTTGCTTTTTTTGTTTCATTTTTTAAAATAATCCTTTATATTTTTGTTCTGCATTTTGGATCCTTTCCCTTTTTGTTTACCTCCAGACTGTGCCAATTCACTCATAGTAGAAGAAGTTACCTTACTGATCTACTCCAAAGCTCTTAAAGGGGATCTTTAAGCATTTTGGCATTGCTTTTGGAAGCAGCTGTGCCATGCATTACTTTACGCAGTGTTTAGCCTTCAGTCAGCAGGTTCGGATGTATTTTATAAGAACTGGGTGCAGGTTTTACAGTCACACATGCTCCATCTTTGTGGATCCAGTTTAGCCAGTAGTCTTCTTACAAAGATACAGTCCTTTTTGTCGACACTTTTACAGCACAGTAACAGGAACCTTGGTGAATCTGGCATTTATCAGGTAGTTAAATCACAGAGCGCTGATGACTTCGTTTGGAGGCGAGAGCGCAGAGAGACTATTGAAGGGAAACAATTAGATTTCAAATCCTTGTCATGCATGTGTTGGTTTCAAAGAGTAATATTTCAGTTTTATGGAGCGGTTTTGGCCTCAAACACATCCAGCTTTCCAAATGAATTACTTTGATATATTATACTTGTATTGATAAGTTGCATTTGAGTTTTGAACTTTTTCAAATGTACTGCCACTAATTTCTTCAGTGAAGTCATCTAGTGTCAGGATTATCTTGATTTCATCCTTCACAATGATTAAAATCTTTTCATACAACACTTCAGATTATAAACATTTGGAAATTATTCACTCATTTAATTCATTTTAAAGTCATAAAACTTTTAAAGTCAGACTGAAAAATAACATTTAAACATGATTTAAGGTGTTTTAGTGTTTTTAAAGTTTCAACACTTCTCTGTGGTCTTGTAAATGGACGTGTGTGTGTGTGTGTGTGTGTGTGTGTGTGTGTGTGTGTCTGCATGGAGGACCTAGAGATGATTTGGCTGAAGCAGTCTGCAACAAGCCAGATCAGGTAACATCAGATGACAGCCCAAGGTCAGGGACGACGCAGCACCCCGAAACTTAAGACACCCCCTGCCTGGCGTCTACGGTTACCCACAGGGACAAAACGGGGACTGATGGAAGTTTACAGAATATAAATCAGAGAGTATATCTTTTTTTATAAAATGGTGCATGTCTCTTCAGAAATACTGGAGCCCATTTGTGCATTTGTCGAAAAGTAAACAAAGATGTAGACAAGAACACGCTGCACGGGGTGAAAGCTGCCCTCCCCTCCAAAAAAAGGCCCCAATGATGAATGGGAACATTTCGGTCAGTTGTCCTTCAGACCAAATACTCCAAACACTTTCACTCACTCTGTAAACATCATGCAGTGAAGCACATAAAACGCTCATATAGGGATATTGTTAGCAGTCTGAGGCCCTGGCGTCCTGAGCTGCACATGCAGACAGGAGGGGCCCCATAACTTCGGTTTCCCCCTCCACCCGTCTCTGCTGCCGCTGCTGCTGCTGACTGGCCCTCCTTATTTATTGCTCTGTAATTTCTGCAGACTAATTGATTTGGCTCGCCTCTCAGGCTGTGAGGAGACAGGAAGTCAGGCAGGAGAGAGGTGAAGAGGGAGGAGAGAGAAAAGAGACGGGGAGAAAAAGAAGTGTTTCCAAGCAACCCTGACAACCCTTCACCCAAAAGCACATCAGAAGTACACTGTGTAATGTTTACCGCATGATGGAGGACGACAACAGACACCTACATTAAGATGACAGCTTCTGCATTCATATAAACCTACCGATGTGCAGACATGTTTACTATTCTTTGCATGATGATTGCTCTCCTCCTTTTTGGGTTTGCAAGATATCAATGTCATTATCTACGTCTGAACTTCTCGCTGATATTTTACCAAGAAGCCTGCAGAAAAAAAAGTTGAGATGAAGTTAGGACAAACATTTTGTCTGTTTGCATTCACACGTGCGGCTCATCCAAACAGTTTCATGAAGTTTTCGGGAGTTTTAAACATGTGTGAATGCAACTTTAGAGGCTGAAAGACGAAAAAGACGGTGTGTGGAATAGTAATAATGGGGAGAGGGGAGCCATCGTCATGGAGCCCAAACTTTTAAACATTATAGCTGATGGTTTTCTGTCTTAACTTTTACAATTAAGTGTATGACACAACTGTCTAAGGAAAATTAGTCAACCTTACTTAGAGAGGAGGAAAATGCAGCAAATGTTGTATATCATGCTGCGGTCTTTTGTTCTCTCTAGGTCTGACAAACTCAGATTTAGATATTTTTAATGTTAAAAAACTGCATTAAGCCGTCATCCCATCAAAACATGACATTAGTGGACAGTACCCACTGAGAAATATACGGATATTAGACGTCTAGTTCTTTTTTAGATCTAATTTCAACCACTTAGATTCTGTATATTTTAGACGTTGCCCTTTAACCCATTACTCGATAACTATTTATTTTAAAGTTTCAAACTGATCTCCAAGTACTTAACCAAAATAATTATGATAGCCGTTGAGCAATATACAGTGTAGTATAGATATAGCCCTAATTTAGACTAAACTTGGTCTTAATTTAGACGCTTAAAAAACTTTGATTTTGAGACCTGTGGTAGCCTGATTTTAGACCAGTTGTCTAGGCTACATTTAGACGTCTATTAGACCTCTTTTAGACCAAAAAAAGCTCAGTGGGTAGCTAGATTATTAATATCCATTAAAACATTTTAATTTTATCAAATCCTCAGAACCATTTAAGGGTCCCTTCAGTTCAAGTTTCTTTATTTGTTCCTATAAAAAAAATCTTTATTTCTCATTATAGAGAAAAAAGATAACCCGACTTAATGATCTGCAGTTTCCTTACAGGTAAATGTTTTTTTGATAAATATGTGAGATTACCTGAGTTTGAGCAGGGTTCAGTATGTGATTGAGTATATGTAATTAGTAGTAAATGGGGCGAAGTATACAAAAACACAAGTCTGGTCCTTTCAGCCAAACTAAGCAGCTCTGTAGCTGCAGATTCAGTCAGCATTAGATTTGAATGATTTATAGCTCCACTGACTTTGCTAAGTGGTTTCAGGTCAGAAAATGAGGCTTCAATTAAATTATCCCCCAGACAACACTTAGTAAAGGTCAGTGGCTCTCTGAGATCAGCCTGCCTAATGTAAGAAGCATCAATGAACCTTTGTCCTGCTGGTCTGCCAACAGAAGGCTTTCAGGAACACTGTCCCACCCTGCAGACCAAACTGT